AGGGGGGGGGGGGGCACGGGACGGGATCTAACGTTGTGGTCTTCGCCAGCATCGCGTGGTTCATGACGAACACCATCATCTTCGCCGCGTTCTCGTCGATGTTCGCATACGTCGACGCCGTCGACAAGACGTAGACGCAGAAGACGTACGCGTTCCAGTATATCAAGCAATCATTCGCGTTCGGAGATATGCTACCTTGCTGCACGGTGGATGCACTCACTGAGGGCCGTGCTTAGACCCGTGGCGACAATGGAGCTCTGTGGACTGCGCTCGGACAATGCACCGTGACGACAAGAGCTGTCAAGTGGCATTAGCCTCTACCGTGAAGGGGAGCTGTCACATAAGGTCGTGGACTGTAGTAGCGTAGACCATGTGTATTGGCAATCGGCGACCGTACAAATACTCGAGTGCGAGCGTGCCGCTCTCAACTCACAACGAGCAGCCCCGCTCTTCTCCGCTCTCCACCGCGCATCCTGTCTCTCTTCTGCGTACACTCGTCGAAAGATGAGCACTCTTGTAATTGGCGACTTCTCCTTCCCACTCGACATGGTAGCCGGGAAGGAAGGGTTGGAACTGGGCAGAACCTTGAAGAAGTTAGATTTGGTGAGTCTCTATACTGCAATCCTACAAGGCGACGCACTGACTTATCAATTCCAGAGATATCAACGCTTCTGCGATTCCTACAACCCGGACGACACGCAGATGTTGGATGGCGGTGTTGATGCGGCGGGCGATGGTGGCTACACGGCGGGCACGGGGATCACGAACGAGGAACTCGCTCAGCTCCAGTTGAGCCTCCACGCCGCACCTCAGAAGTATCACAAGGGGTCGGTAACGCGTATGGCCAAAGCAAGCAGGGTCAAGAAAGCCGGACCTGCTCGCGTCAGGCGTGCGCCTGAAGACGCGCTCTTCTCTGCGATCGACGGAACAGGCGTCGATGGCAATGCTTGGGGCCCGTCTCTCTCAAAGAGCTTCACATGGTCTTTCCCAGACCAGTTCGGGCTCGTCGATTCCTTCAATCTCGACGTTGTCCGTCCCGTCCCTGCGCCAGGCCCAGCTGCGAAGGCCGCAATCGAACCGGGCAGCGCGATTACTTGGCCGCTCCCCGACACATTCTACACGCAACCCGGCATATACGATGCCAACATTGACTGGGCCCCGCTGCACTCTCTGACTGCGATTGAGACGCAGTTTGCGCAGAGCGCGGGCTCATCTTCATCTTCGGGCTCTTCGACCTCTGTCCAGCAGCAGCCCATCTTTAACACTTTCAGCGGAGGAACCTCTCTGGGGACTCCTGCGCCCTACAACATGACACACTGCCCGGCATCCGTCAGCGGAGGGACCGCGACGAGCACGCAGGAATGGAGTACGCTGCCATGGGCACAGGAGGCAGCGATTTGCGACGTCCCTCCGTCTAAGTCACACGGACAACCCACCGAACGCGGGGGAGGGGGCGCCCGCGCCGATGACAAGCCCATGACGTCTCAATCCCGCGTCGAACTGCTCATGAACCAGGGCGGACTATTGCCAGGCCAGCACGATGACTGGCTCGGCATCGTTCGCAAGAATAGCGACGATAATCACCGGCTTTATCGCCACACCGCGCTCGAGGCCAAGTTGCCGATCGATGTGCGAATCAGCATTGAGCGCCTCCGTACCGCTGCTCGCCAATCTGAGCGCTCCAGGGCGCACGGTATGCCAGACCCTTTGAGCGCTTATTTCGCCCCGAGCGGAAGGCAGGACTACTTCAGGTGCCCGATCTGCAATGACGAGATCAATGAGTTTCGGAATCTCTTGCGCCATGTTGAGAGCCAGAAGCACCTCAACATCATCTTCCTCTGCACCTACGAGGCGACGAACACGCCGTTGTGTCAGCAAACAAGATCTCGCGTGTCGGGCGTGAATAAACACTTGAAGAAGGATCACGGGGTGAAGTCCATCCGCGAGTGGGACATGAGTAGGAGAACGAGCGCTGAGTAGGAGGACGAGGAGAATTGGAAGGAAGACAAGTAGATGAATCGGCGAAATATTTTTGCGGGCTATGCTATGATGAGTATGCTATGACTGAGTAAATATGTAAAAACATGATTTGCCTCTTTGGACCATCTGCATCCGAGTGTAGGAGGAACTGGACTGGGTAGTAGCCGAAGCGCGAAAGGTCTAGATGCCTGCCAGTCCAAGGAACACCGGTGATGGTGCTTGATCAAAGGGAGATGTGGCTAACGCGTGAGCAGCGGAGGCTCGGGCCTCGGGCCACATCGACGGCGTGCGCGGGAATTTGACGTCAAGCAGCGTGCGCCGGGTCCGACGCACGTTCGTCCGCTCCCGCCACTGTTCATATATCGCAGACTTTTTACGTTTTCTTCTTCCGCTCCTCCCGACATGCCCCACGCCTTAGAAGAAACGACGATGAGCACGAGCAGCAGCGACGGCTCGATGCTCAGGCGCTCTTGGCACGCGATGGCCGAGAGGTTCTCACCCTTCTCGCCCGCTGCTATGGCTAAACTGCCGAAACCAAACAGTATGTACACACGCTGATTTGACCGGAGTATATGTTCACCACATGCAGGACCTGTAAGGTATACTCGCGCCGACGACATTCCAGACGCAGAGGTGCGTTTGCTTCTGGTTCCCATGGTCAAGATACTGAACATCGTACAGCCCGATGAAGAGGGCAACCTGCCAGCAGTCCGCGACTACCACGCCATCAACTCTGTACCCACAAATATCAGGGTACCGAAGAAAGTCGCAACACCGGTACGCGTCGAGGGCAAAGTCTGGTTCGCAAACGAGCGCAGTGCGTATCTGTCTGCATCGGCGCCAAGCCTATACTCATGTTGTGTACATGACAGCATGGATAGCGTATATGAACATGGCCATCCTCATCGCAACCTTTGCTGTTGCGCTGTTTAATGCCTCTGCAGACGACGTCTCCCGCTATTTTGCTTACTTCTATGCTCTCGTGAGCGTCGGCGTTCTCGTGAGCACTTCTCCGGTCCGCCAAGTCTTCCTCTACTCACGAGCGCTGGATGCCGCCGGCGATAGGTCTACGGATATGTTCTGTATCAGCATCGGATCACGATGATACGGCGGCGAGACCCTGGTCACTTCGGTGCGTTATCTTCTCGGGTCGCGTGCACTCGTCTGCTGAACTTCTTTAGACGCCATAGCTGGACCTGTGGTCATCAGTGCTTTCCTATTCTTCGGCGTGCTCGTCAACTTCATCATTCGATGTACGTGGCACTCGTCCAATGCGAATGTGATCTCAGCTGATGCGTATCGGTCTATCTTCTAGTCCGCGAAGTGTACGTTTGCTGGTTTTGTTATAATCGCATTCAAGCTAACTGTTCGTCTATAGACAACGTAAAGGTGCAATTCCCTCCGGTACCCAAGTGCTCTCGTACTTCACCTTATGACGTCTCGATACAAAAGCACTTCACTCTCTGCCTTTATCTACACGATTAGCCGGAGAGGGGATATCGTGCTCCCTTCATCTTGAACGCATACTTATGAGCCCCATCCTGGACTATTGAAAGAATCCTCGTAGCAGAACCAAGGGTGGCGCAATGAACTCCAAGTGTGAATGTCGGAATGCCCCGCCTACATCTGAAAGTCCACGAACTCTCGAAGCTCAGTGGGACTGTCGACTCCTAGTGTGGCACCGTCAGAGTAAAAAGAACCCCGGCACTCGCTAGCTCCTGATGCCCGTAGATCGAACATCTATGTCCGTCGTTGCTTCAGACCGCGGACCAAAAGCTGGCATCTTATCGAAAGGGGATACAGATGTTGCTGTTTGGCAGGTGGAGATTCCGCAACACTCATGCTACTGCTTGCGAGGCATCGACCTCAACTATGTCCAAAACGACTTGAAAAAAGTGGTTCAACCCGGGTTCGAACCGGAGACCTCCCGTGGACACAGTAGATAATAATGTGAGACGGACGTGATAACCAACTACACCATTGAACCTATACTAGTATGTGCAAGTAGTTAAATATAAACTTACCGTCAGGTTTATGCGCGAATTCAGCGTTCCAACCACTGGTCGGCACATCCAAATCCAAAGAGGAAGGTACTGTAGGTGGTGCGTCGGTTGTCATCTACTGTTTTGATTCAAGGTCCCCCTTAGTTGACGGATGCCACCGTTAGCCGTGCTGTACATTGTTGGGGACAGTCCGGTATAACATTCCCAGATGCGCTCGAGCATGAAGCCTCCACATCAGCATCAGCGGCGGAACCGCGCCGAATTGGGGCGCTCGCCAGACCAGAAATAGTGTAGGCTTGTTCGAGAATAGAGGATCGCTGCGAAACGACCACAACGATGAGTGTTGGATAGATTCCCTAGACCGATGGGTTAGTGTCGTCGTGGGTGTATGATCTTTGTATGTCGCGTACAGAGAGCTGACACATCCAGTAGTTCGACCAGTAATTGCCCGTTGCGCCAAGCCCGTCGTCGTTCGCAACGAAGAACAGGACCCATAGAAGCGAGTACATGACACCCGTCTCTACCACCACATACAGTACGCCAAGGAGCCTCTGAGAGTTGTATGCTCCGTTGTGTGCGGGAAGCAAGCGCTGTATCTCCTTCCGATGCAATCTAAGGTGCAGACATTAGTCCTGGACCGTCCTCTCCGTACCGATGCTGTATCACTCACAAAGCCTTTCTGGCGATCAAGAATGTGGAAAAGATCTGTGCCACGGCCGTTGACCCCTCCGTTATCGAACTCATCACCCAAAGTACCGTTGCCTGATTCGCGCTCGAGAGGTGAAACCTGGAGTTTGGCAGTTCGACTCCAGCATGTAGAGTCACATTGAGGGGATAGAGGACTGTGGAGACTCGTTTCAGTGATACATTGTTCCAGCGAAACTGAATCTACTTACCGCCCGACAGGACGATCAGCGAGCAACATGTAACTTTCAACCATCGGGGTTTGCCGTATATGACGTATGCTCGCCAGAGCGAGATGCAGTCGCAGGAGATGAACTGAACACAGACACGATTCAGTGAAGAACCACTTACGCTTAGAGAAACAATAGCTACTCACAATGACCGAGGTGCACACGTTTCGGGCGAAGACGATGTTGCCGAGGAGCTCCCCGAAAGCTTGACCGAAAGAAACCCTCGTTCCATTAGGCGATGATCGACTTGGGAGAAGTCGGTACACTTCTAGCGAGAGGACCCAAATGTCTAGTGCCAATGAGGCAGCACACAACACAAAAAGGCACATGCAGACGGCGAAAGATCCAAGCGCGCGCTCGTTATCGTGCCTATACCTGTGTCACTGCTCAAGAACAAGGCGTGAACTCGTTGAAGACGCACCGATACTTGGTACAATGAAAGATCATGAGCATCGTGTACAACGCTAAAACGGCATTGTCAGTCAATTAAGAATCGGTGTTCAGGCGCCGGTAAATTACCGAATAACACGCTTTCCAGTATGACTGGGAACATGCGGTAATCAGCCATACGGATGATATCATCTGAGATCTCGGCAAGTTGAGCGGTAGAGTCAGCAAGTATAGGCATCACAAAGCAGTCGGGAGCAGGTGTGTGATGGTCTGAGTTAACCGATGCTGTAGGCGAGGCAGGTTCTTTGAGGATATTCGTCAGCACGCGGGTTATATCACTTTGGAGGGAAGAAACGTACTGGCGTACATACTATCATAATCACGGAGCGGCGCTCTTCTAACACTGATACAAGCAACCGGCATGTGACATGCCACTGCCATAAGCCACCTTCCACGTCGCCCGTGCGCCGGGCGATGATCTGTGAGACTGCGATAGGCCAGGGAGGCGTCGGTGACTCTGTGAAATCTGTCAGGATAGGGCTTCCTCCTTGCGTATGAAGCCCAAATAGACTGCGCGTTGACTCATGCCAGCCATTGCCGGCGGCCCGTGGCAGACTGCAACTGCGATGCTTCCTAGCCGGTCAGACCGAAACGCGGGCCGGGACAGAGTTCAACCAATCTTCCCATTATCCATGAAGAGAGACGACACTGGTGACGTTCATAATTCGTTACAGTCCGCTGTGCAAAATATCTGGAGGCGATGAACGCAAAGCCTTTGGCCCCAGACGGCAGGTCTCAAGGATGGGTGCAACTGACTCGCAGGGAGTGCGGGATGCTCAGAGAACCGCCACCTACAGACTGGCGCAGCAGTAAGCGGTTGGGTCTGACACTCTCAAGCGCTTCGTGCAAGTTATGGATGCATTCGCCTGAACATGTGGTTTCACGGCGAGTGGGGAAAGAGTCAGTGGTGGACGTTCGAAACAAGGCGCGCACGCGACAGAGCCTTGCCAAGCGCGCGGGGCTGACGTCAGCACTCACGAAGGCGAGCGCGGCCTGAGGTCGGTCCGTCGCGTCTTCGAGCATGACCCCACCTGCTAGGTCAGTGCCTAACCCAACGATTTCTGTGGTACCACCTTCTATCACACCCGGATGTATCCTTGACCATGTAGTAGAATCTATATATGAGTAACACTCTACACGTACATAGTAGGCCGTAAGAAGTACGCAATGTCCCGCCGTCTACCCTCTACATCAATGGGTCGTCCCTGGTTGACTGGCTCAATCGTTCCCTCATCACGCTCTACATCCTCGGAAGATGTGTCGGGTGAAGCCTTCTCGAACATCCCCAAAGATCTAGGCTCTATATCCATGTTGGAGGCAAAGCGAACGGGTGCAGTCGCTAGACCAGACGCGATATGATATATGAGCCTGCTCAAGAATGGACGATCGTTGCGAGACGACAACAACGATGAGTGTGGGGCAGATGCCCTGAGCCCGTGGATCAGTGCAGTGGTGGTGTGGCGAGTATGATAACACGCACAGATAGTTGGCACATCCAGTAGTCCCCCCAGTACCCACCCGTCTCGCCGAGGACGCCTAAGTTGGAGACGAAGTATATAACCCACAGAAGTGAGTAGACGACACCGGTCTCTACCACGACGTACAGCACTGCTATCAGCCTTCGCGAGTTGTGCGGTCCACCATGGGTAGGCATTAGGTCTTTGATTTCCTTACGGTATGAACTGAAGAGATCAAGTTAGTAGTCAGCTGATGAGCGACGGTACTGTACACTCACACAACCTTCCTGGCGATCAAGATGGTTGCAAAGACTTGCGCTAATACCGTCGATCCTCTTGATGCAGAGCCCATGAGCCATAGTAAGGCTCCGTGATCGAGCTTAGAGAGGTGGACCGTGGATGGAGGTGGGTTTGCGAGGTCATCTCCGGCGCGCAGCAGCACGTTCACGATGTAGAAGGCTGGTACGAGGTGGCTTAGTGGTATGTTCTGAGCTTGACAGCAACCATGCTCACCGGACGAGGCTACAAAGATCAGGTAGCATACCACTCGCAACCATCGAGGTCTACCGTAGATGAGGTACGCCCTCCAAAGCGAGATGGAGTCGCAGAAGATGAACTGGAGTGCCCGATCAATCATTGAACACGAACTTATCTGGGATGACAGTGCTCACGATGACTATGTTGCAGAGGGCGCGAGCGTACGTCGCGGTCCCGTTGAGCTCCTTGAGGGCTTGAAAGAGAGGGTTGGCAGTACCGCCAGGCGATGCTCGACTAGGAAGAAATCGATACAACTCCAAAGAGAGAATCCAAACGTCCAGGGCCCAAGTGGCAGCACACATGATGAAAAGACAGATAGAGACAGCGAAGATACCGACGGCCCGCTTTTTGTCGTGGCTACCGGTGATATGAGTCGTCTTGTAGAGGTATTCGAACAGGGGAACACACCTGTACTTGATACAGTGGAAGATCATGAGCACCGTATACAAAGCTAGCGTAGTCTCAGCTTCTTGTGCGTTGCTTGTCGAAAGCGCCAACTCACCGAATAACACGCTCTCCAGTATGACTGGGTAGATGCGGTAGTCGGCCATACTGATGATATCATCCTTTATCTCGGCAAGTTGGGCTGCGATATCGTCGGGGGTAGACATTGCAGGGGTTGTTGCGGCAGCGTGCGCTTGTGCTGCCGACGCTGGGGAGGTAAAGCGGACACTTTCCCGCTGGGCGTAGACTTATATGGCGAATGCTCTAACGCTCGCACAATCGACATCAGAGAGCAAGGCTCCTATCCCATTATGCCCTGATGCGGGGTAGCAAAAAGCTACGCGAACGCGTCTTCGAGTGACTGTTTGGGCATTTCCAGTCGCTTTCGGGGAAGTGAGCGGGAAGCTGCGGCTATCTGTATACAGACTGTCAGTCAATGTAAGGCATGCGCCGCTGCTATCAAGAAAGCTTGGTTTCATAGACTGAGTTTGAACACAGTGCGTGAACTCTGCTGCGGCTAGAGACACTGGTCCGGACGTAAGTAAGCCAAGATAGAGAGTTGGGTTCGATTTCGGGAGTATCGACCAAACACTTGCGCGTTCATCGGAGCTATGCTTGACACAAAGCTTAACCAGCGGGCAGATAGGACTTGGGTCAGGAGTGGGCAGCCCAACGCCCATTACCGTAGAATCTGAAAACGGCAGTGGACATGGAGGACTGACAAGCCCGACCACAATTTCGGATATTGGAAGAGATCACATTGAACATGATTTGTGTATCGTGTGTTTCGGTTGAGTGGACATAAGGTATAGCGGGGATAGTGGACGTCTGAGTCAAGGCGGGGACGCGAATGCCGAGAGCGAGCGCGCGAGGCGCTTACCAAGGCTGGTCGGGGAGGCGCGTCATTTGGGATCGCGGAAGCGGCACGCGAGAGGTCGTGTACCTCCCCGACCATCGCGTACGCGCGTCTTGGTTCTCAACCTCCACTATACACGTCGTCGCTGCTTTCGGGCGATGAACGTATTCGGCAGCTTGCTCGGCGCCGCGTCGCGCAGGGCCGCCGCCGCGCCGTCGAGCGCGACCAGCCTGCGTGGCGCACTCCGGAACGCGGATGGCCAGCTGAGGACAGGCTGGCTAGCGCGCAGAGCCTGCTACTCTACCCTGCTCCCGCCAAATCCCTGGAACAACGCCATCGCCCGGATGGACGCAGCCGACGACCAGGGCGCTGGCGCGTCATCGTCCGCCCCGCCCTCGAGCTCGGGCTCGTCAGGAGACAGCTCCGACAGCTCTGACGGCGGCAACAACTCCTCCGCCTCAGACTCGGCACCACCACCTCCGCCATCATCTTCAGAGTCTCCGCCGCCATCCGGTGCACCAACGTCTATTCAAAGACAGTCTGTACCGGAAGTCTACCCTCAGGTCCTCGCACTACCTATCGCACGGCGTCCACTATTCCCAGGCTTCTACAAGGCTGTCGTCGTACGCGACCCGCAAGTCGTAGCGGCTATCAAGGAGATGATGAAGCGCGGCCAACCTTATCTCGGTGCATTCTTACTCAAGGACGACCAAACGGACTCGGACGTTATCACCGACCTCGACTCGGTACACCCTGTCGGCGTATTCGCACAGATCACCAGCGTATTCTCGGCCAATTCGGGTGCTGGAACGGCTACGGGAGCAGGCAAGGAGGACGACAAGTCCGGCCAGCCTCAGCAGGAAGGTCTCACGGCGGTTCTGTACCCTCATCGGCGCATTCGGATTACGGATTTGGTCAAGGCGGGCGGCAAGGGACCGGCTATGGTCAAGGTTGAGAGCGCTGAGCAACCTGCGGCTGAGGACGGTCAAGTCCCGACGCCGCCTGCGACGCCTGAACCGGAAAACACCGACTCGTTACATCCAGGTAATCCTTGTATCGTACTATCCTACATGTACATTCGCTGACATACATCTGCAGCTCCTCTACAGACCTCGTTCTTGCACAAGCATGATATCTCCATCGTCAACATCGAGAATCTGCCGACGCAACCTTACAACAAGGACGACCAGTACATCCGCGCATTCATGGCCGAGATCGTCACCGTCTTCAAGGACATCGCGCAATTGAACCCGCTCTTCCGCGACCAGATCACGAACTTCTCGATCAACCAGGTCGCGTCGAACGTCTTTGACGAACCGGACAAGCTCGCCGATTTCGCCGCGGCCGTGTCTGCTGGCGAGGTTCGCGAGTTGCAGGACGTGTTGGAAGCTCTGAGCGTCGAGGACCGATTGCGCAAGGCTCTGCTGGTCCTCAAGAAGGAATTGATCAACGCCCAACTGCAGTCCAAGCTCAGCCGGGATGTCGACTCGAAGATCGCAAAACGCCAACGGGAGTACTACCTCATGGAGCAGCTCAAGAACATCAAGAAAGAGCTGGGTATCGAGAGCGACGGCAAAGACAGGCTCATCGAGAAACTCCGCGAGCGCGCCGCACAGCTCAAGATGCCCGAGCCCGTACGCAAGGTCTTCGACGAGGAGCTTGCGAAGCTGCAAGGTCTCGAACCTGCCGCGTCCGAGGCGAACGTGACGAGGAACTACCTCGACTGGCTCACGCAGATCCCATGGGGCGTGCATACTCCGGAGAACTACAGCATCGCGCATGCGGTCAAGGTGCTCGACGAGGACCACTACGGCTTGAAGGACGTCAAGGACCGCATCCTGGAGTTCCTGGCCGTCGGCAAACTTCGCGGGAGCGTACAGGGCAAGATCATCTGTCTCTCGGGCCCGCCGGGCGTGGGAAAGACGTCTATCGGGAAGAGCATCGCGCGCGCTTTGAACAGGCAGTTCTTCCGCTTCTCGGTTGGAGGCTTGACGGACGTCGCGGAGATTAAGGGACATAGGAGGACGTATGTTGGCGCGCTGCCGGGCAAGATTATTCAGGCGCTCAAGAGGTGTGGGACAGAGAATCCGCTTGTGCTCATCGACGAGGTCGACAAGGTTGGGCGTGGATACAATGGCGATCCGAGCTCTGCATTGCTCGAGATGCTCGACCCGGAGCAGAACACGGCGTTTCTGGACCACTAGTACGTCTATTCTCTCGTCTTGAGTCACGAACAGCAGACTGACGCGAATTCAGCATGGATGTCCCCGTCGATCTCTCGCGTGTCCTTTTCGTCTGCACCGCCAACGTGCTTGACACCATCCCGGCCCCATTACTCGACCGCATGGAAGTAATTGAGGTCTCTGGATACGTCAGCGAAGAGAAGGCTCAGATCGCGGCGCGCTACCTCGCGCCGCAGGCCAAGGAGGCGAGCGGTCTGGCTGATGCGGACATTGAGCTCGAGACTGCTGCGGTCGAAGTGCTCATCAAGGACTACTGCCGTGAGAGCGGTGTCCGTAACCTCAAGAAGCATATTGAGAAGGTGCGCTTGCGTTCAACTCACGATATGCAAGGGATATGAATACTCATGTTGTATGGACTAGATCTACCGCAAGGCCAGCTTGAATATCGTACGCGACCTCGGCGAAGATGTCCTTCCCGAAGCCGCCGCACAACCCGAGACCGCGACCGCTGAAGACGCCGAGTCTGCCGCAGCGGAGCACAAGCCGCCTCCGGAGACCGCGCACCACGTCGAAGACTCTATCCCGAAGCAAGACGAGGCAGAGGACCCCTCCGTGACGTCCGCGGCGCGCCAGCCGCTCAAGGTGCCCGACACCGTCCACGTTCGCATCACACCGGAGAACTTGAAGCAGTATGTCGGCCCGCCCGTGTACTTCCGCGACAGGCTATACCCGCGTCAGCCTCCTGCTGGCGTCTCGACTGGCCTTGGCTACCTCGGCAACGGCTCAGGCGCGACGATGCCCATTGAAGCTACGAGCATGCCCGGCAAGGGCTCACTGCAGCTCACCGGCAAACTTGGCGAGGTTATCCGCGAGAGCGCACAGATCGCTCTGAGCTGGACCAAGGCGCACGCCGTAGAGCTCGGCATCGCGACGGATGAGAAGAGCCCGCTGTTCGGTGACCGTGATATTCACGTTCATATGCCTGAAGGGTCTATCGGGAAGGAGGGACCTTCGGCCGGGACAGCGCTACTCAGCGCGTTCGTATCTCTGTTCACGCGTACGCCGGTCAGCCCCGATATTGCTATGACGGGCGAGATCTCGCTTGGCGGACAGGTGTTGCCTGTGGGTGGACTGAAGGAGAAGATCCTCGCTGCGCACAGGGCTGGTATCAAGCTCGTGCTCGCACCCGCGGCGAACAGGGCAGATATCGAGGAGAACGTACCGCAGAGCGTAAAGGAGGGTATCCGCTTCGTTTATGTGGAGGACGTGAGGGAGGTGCTGCACGAGGTGTTCAAGGACACGGAGGCAGAGAAGAAGTGGCGGGAGACGTTACCTTTGCCCGAGGCGTGAGGATTGGACGTTGAGAGGGGAGACGGGAGAAGAGACGCTCGTTTTCGACTTTGCTGTTGCTGTTTAGATTCGGTATCTACGCATAGCTGTATCATAGAGTAATATTCCGCAATCACACGACCACTCATGGCTACTCGAATAGTCACAATGCTATTTCTTTCGTCGTTCGTGGGAGTTCCGCGAGGCCTGAGGTCATGCGCTCATCGACCTCTTGACCGGCGCAATGGGACGAGTTACGGCTTGTTCTGAACTACCATCATAGTGAAACCCTCCCTACGTTGATCAACTTCAGCTTGCGAAGCACTGCTTGGACTGCCGTAGGTATTGCAGTGGACTTACTGTCGACCTCGACTTGACTTCATGCGCTTCCAAACTGTAGCCAGGCCGTCGGCCAAGTTCTAAGCGCGTCTTTGGTTTCTTCTCTACTACCTCCCATTCTTGCTCCATGGCTGCATACCGCATACCTGGCATTGCTGGCGCAATGCTGAAAGCAGGCATCTCCGGAACGCCAAATCCGCTACCGGCATCCTTCCTCCGCGGAGGCACATCCAAAGGCGTCTTCATCAACCGCGCACACCTCCCCACTGAGCGAGCGAACTGGGATAGAGTGCTCCTCGGCCTCATGGGCTCCCCAGACGCCCAATACGGCCGCCAACTGAACGGCATGGGCGGCGGCATCTCGAGCCTCTCGAAGGTCTGCGTCGTTGGCCCGCCTCCGCCTTCTGCTGCACGGGACGTCGACGTCGAGTACACGTTCGTACAAGTCGGCATCCGCGACGAGCAGCTCGATTACTCGGGAAACTGCGGGAACCTGTCGAGCATGATCGGCGTGTTCGCGCTCGACCAGGGTCTGTGCGCGCCTCGCAATGTCGCGGGTGGGCTCGGCACCGTGCGCTCGCTCAATGCGAACACGAACAAGATTATCGACACCACATTCCCCGTCTCTCCGCATGCTGAGCTCGGATACGTCCCCGAGCTCGGGCTCGAGCAAGTCTCAATTGCGGGCGTACCGGGCCTTGCCTCGCAGATCATACTGGACTTCGTGTCTCCAGCAGGCGCGCGCAGCGGCGTACTGCTCCCCACGGGCAATGCGATAGACGATATTGTCCTGAGCGGCGGCAAGAGCGTCCGCGCGTCGCTCGTAGACGCGGCGAACCCCACGGTTCTCATCACCAACGGCGATTTGCGCGTGGCGCTGGGAGCGTCTACCGACACAGTTGACATCGAAGATGTCTCTGTACTCGGTGTTCTCGAGGAGATACGCCAGGCCGGCGCCGCGCGTATGGGACTGGACCCGTCCGCTCAAGCACAGCCCAAGATCGCCGTTATGAGCGCACCGCGCTCTGGCGAGGACGAAGGAACACATCTGGTTGTGCGCGCGTTGTCGATGGGAGTACCTCATAAAGCCATACCCATCAGTGTTGCGCTGTGCATTGGCGTGGCCGCGCGCACACCGGGTACCCTTGTCGCTGAGCTTGTGGCCGGCGCTGATGCTGGTGGAAAGCTCTTCCGGATACGGCATCCGGGTGGTGTGGTTGACGTTGGAGCGGATGTTGCGGAGGACGGAGAAGCGAAGAGTGCGAAGGTTATGAGGACAGGGAAGAGGCTGATGGAGGGGGCGGTGTGGTGGTGACCACTATTCGGTGGCCGGTGGCGTCTCTACAGAAACGCTTGTAGTCATCGATACGCATTCTTGGATGCAGAGCAGTGCTATCCGCAGAGGATACACACACCGGACACGTACCGCCGTACATGTTTGCCTTGTGTATCAACGCGGCCCGGATCGTGCCGGTGAATGAATAGGCGAATGGCCTTCCATCTTCAGCGCTTGACAGGGTACACACACGAGTCTCCTGAGAAGATCATTATAGCCTATCCTAGCCTAGAGAAGTGCACCGCTCTGGATTAGCAGTCCGATCCTATATCAGAACATGGTTATGCTGTTGAAACCTTTCTTTCCCTCTCATCCTGGTAGACCTCGCGCCGCTGATAGCATGCCTACTCTCAATGTGACTGTCCAACTAGCGGGAGTTGTCAATGACATCAAGAGCATGGCTGACTACCGCATCTTCCCGGTCATACTAGAAAGTGTACTGCTTGGTCAGTTGCATCTCGCTTTTCGATTGACGGGGCAGCTCGCTGATCGCGGCCTATCCAATGTAGCCCTGCACGCCGTGCTCATTGTACTTCTCTGTATCAAGTACTGGTGAGTTTTCCGCCGCTTGAGCGTCAACGTCTACGAGTTGTGATGGTATTCGTACAGGGGCGACAAAGACCGCGTTCTCGGGGTCTTTGCGGTGTCCGCCTGCCTTTTCATCATGACTGCGGCTGAATGGGCGCTGGACATCTGGGTTCTCGCTCTAGAGCTGTACAGGCTCCTTCCTAGTCGTCTATCACCAGATGGCGTCAGCATTCCTATCAATGAAGCCCTGAAGGAGCTCAACGGGAACGTTACGTTTGCGCGTGACACTTGCTTGACGGTTGTTGTAAGTGTATCACTCGCTTGAGTGTGATCTTCTGGCACTGACGCTTCTTCAGTTTATTCTCTGCGACTCCATCTCACTTTGGCGGGCCTATGTCATATACGGCAGACCTATGTGGCTCAAGTTCACATGCTGCTCGCTGGTTGCCGTGTCCTGCAGTGAGCATAGTATGCTTGATCCGACCAACTAGTCGCAGAACTGACACCCTCGTCCAGTTCTTTACTTGCTAGACATGGTTGTAGATCTCGGAAAAGATCTGATGACCCCTGCGGCTATGGTAATCCATAATTCTACGCTCGGTCGAGGTGTTGCGATTAGGGCCATAGCCAATACGGCTTTAGCGATTACAGCGTTGTCACAAGTCCTGGCAACGGTATTGATCGCTAGAAAGGCTATGTACGTCAGCAGAATCCGTCCCATGGTGTGGTACTGGTGGAATATAATACTGACCACACGGAACTACCCCAGATTGTACCGAAAGGAGATGAAGCTTCTCTTATCCGCTGGCCCGTACAACTTCCGAATGCTGGTGCCGATACTTTACGTATTGGTAGAGACGGGCATCGTCTACTCGCTTCTATGGGTCATCTTCGTGATATCAAATAGCGGAAACGTTGACACGGCAGCAACATACTGGTCAGAATACTGGATAGGTCAGATCTCGGTTCGTGTACCTCTTCGTGCCAAGAGAGTGCACGCAGATGCTGACTTTCGGGTGCGGTATAGGGAATCTATCCCACACTCATCGTGGTCGTGGTCTCAAGACGGGCCTCCATACTAGAACAAAGCATCCATTGCGCGCCTGCCCTTCAGAGCACGTCCATCCACTTCGCCACAAATATCGATATGGAAGAGCTCGAACTTCCGAGTGGCACGCTAGACGTGACCCGCAAACACGGAGAGTTAGCGATCAATCGAGCGGATAGTGACTATAGTAGTTATGTATAGGGTTCCAGGTCTTACTTAGCTAGTGTAATTCTATAATTACGAGAGTACATCGTTCGTGGACGCGAAAGCAGAGATCGCCCGTTCAGGCTCGCAATAAACATCCCTTGACGCGTGACATCACGCGTCGCGTTCGTGTTGAACGCGCGCGTCGTGGTTGACGGGTTTGTGTTCTTGCTTCCACCACGGTCGACGTCCGCCTCTGCCCTTATCCAAATACTCTATCCAAACCGAAAATATGCTCTGGGTAGATGCGGTGCGTTCGAGACTGTCCCTGCTGACTTGGTGCTGGAACGTTGAAGCTCCGTTAGTACAGACCCAAGAAACTCGATGAGCTACACTATCACCAGGGTCTGACCGATCGTCTGAAGTCGCTAGTGCGTCTATGGGATTATTCCATAACTTAGCTTATCAGGCTAACTCTCGATAGGCAGCCTCTGGCGACTTTCCCCATATGCTCTTCTACGGCCCACCAGGTGCAGGGAAGAAGACGCGCATTGCTTGCACATTGAGGGAACTGTTCGGTCCTGGTGTCGAGAAGGTGGAGCAAATACCTACAATCCTGCTATTCAAGACGTCCTGACCCTCCTACAGCTCAAAATTGACCAGCGCGTCTTCATGACCCCTTCACGTCGGAAACTGGACGTCAACGTGGTGCAGAGTAACTACCACATTGAACTTACACCGAGGTGCCGGCCGCTCTTTCGATTCATATAAGAGCTGAGAGCTGAAAGTCGATTAGCGAGGTTGGGAACTACGACAGGGTGGTCATCCAGGAAATCTTGAAGGAGATTGCACAGACGCAGCAGGTGGATCTGAACGCGAAGCAACGGTTTAAAGGTGCGTGTCACGTCGTACACCTGACAGGATGCGGACTCACTCTGCGCTCCCCCTCTAGTGGTGATTATCAACGAAGCAGATTCACTCTCGCGTGACGCCCAGGCCGCCTTACGTCGTACTATGGAGAAATACACAACGAACATGCGCCTTGTTCTATGCGCTAACAGCACTTCGCGCCTCATCGCACCAATTCGCTCGCGTTGTCTGCTCGTGCGCGTTGCCGCACCCAGTACAGAAGATGTGTGCAAGGTGCTCAAACGTGTGAGTGCTCTTGCGGGCGTGCCACCCGCGCCTGAGGAGTCACTTGAGGAGATTGCGGTGGAGGCGGGAGGGAATGTCAGGAAGGCTATCTTGATGTTTGAGGCGTTGAGGATGCAGAAGTATGTTCAGCGCTTCTTGAGTCCCTCTTGGCCGTCGTACTGATGACGTGGTGTAGCCCAAGCCTGAACGGCCCGTTGACAATAGCGAAGCCAGATTGGGAAACATATTGCGCGAAGGTTGGCGACATGATTGTGGCGGAGCAGAGTCCGCAACGCATCATGGATGTACGGGCAAAGTACTACGAGTTGTTGAGCCACTGTATACCGCCGACTGTCGTTTTAAAGGTAATGTGGTCTGTGCATTTGGCAGCATGACAGCTCTGACATGTAACAACTGCAGACAGTAGCCGAACGCGTTGTTGAGAAGGTTGACGAACATCTGAAGGCGGATGTAATGCATTGGGCAGCTGTATACGTGAGTCGACCTACATGCTCCCGAAGGCCTTGTGCGAGCCTTGCCGGGTACGAGCGCTAACATCTGCTCTGCGTAGGAACAACGTATGCGGTTGGGTAACAAGAAGATCTATCATCTTGAAGCTTGGACGGTGAAGGTCATGTCGCTAATCAAGGTATACTTCACGCGCGCCTCTTCATGGTGACACGGACTGACGCGACGGCATCTAGCACTACTTCTACGACATCGACCTGACAGGGTTCGACGACTTATGATAATGGCCGCTAGGTCTATTGTACTTTCGTGTTCGTTCATTCCATTTCTGCGGCTTCTATTTGTGTGACCCGGCGCTTCTTGCATCTGACGCTGATTGTATCCTTACCGACTCATCTGTTCGACGTGTGCCCGACACTATTGAGTGATGACTATGATGAGACGCCCATGCAAGAATGCTCGGACATCGAAACGCCTGTCAGTGGTGCATGGACCGACTGCGGCGCTGAATTGCGTGCGGCCGTTGTCCTCCGGTCCTTGTTCTCAACGTAGAAATCATGATGAGCGTCAACAGATGACTTCCACACCGCGTTATACACGCCGCACCTATTGAACTTCTCGCGCGATGTGTCTGATGAGCTGGCAACGTGAACGGGGCATCGATTCTCAGGAGAACAGCTAATTCCATCGAAGCCAAAGGGCCTGACGGCGACGACACTGTCCATGCCATCGTCGGCGACGACGCGCCCCGACGCGTCGGCAACCCCGACATGCCGACGGCGGGTGACCGTGGCGTTCCTTGGCGAAAAACGCGCGAAAAACGAGCCCGTTTCCGCGCCTGCGGTGCCCACGCGCCCGGGAGCGGACCGGATTTCTGACGTATATGGTGGTTCATCCGCATCTATCTATCGCGCCCCCCTCACGCAGTCCGACTTGACCGCGATGGGAAACAGATATGCTTTACATACTCCGCCGATAGGGACAGGATACAGAGATAGCGGGTCTATTGTGCGTTACACGTCAGGCGCAAATGAGTTATAGCTGCGCAGAGCAATGGAGAAAGGAATGAAGAAGGCCTGATTGCTGCATGTGGCTCTGGCACATCCTAGGAGAAACGCGCGCTTGCTCATTCCTCCGGTTGTGTACCGTGTCATTCCCGGCGCTACTCATGAAAGCTCTATGTATTATGGTGGCTCTGACAGCCCTCCAGCTGGAGGGGAGCTTGTGAAGGCGGATGGGACCCTGTGGGTGCCAGACGGCATCAGGGCACCATCGTCTGCTTCTGGCCTTGTGCCGCGTGTAAGGACACGGCGGCGGATGACGCGAAAGCGCTTCTGCTTCGAAGGTTTTCGCGTCTTGAGCATGATCGACTCCCACATCCCTGCGTATAGTCTCATGCAGAATCCTTGGAGAGAAGTCAGACGAGCGCGCGCGATGTGGGATCATCAGATCTCGACGGGGCGCGCGACGCCGCGCGAGACCGACTAGCGACCGCTCGAACGCGTCTACGACTAGCTGAGACGCGCTTCGTCGGAAGAAGAAAGCGGAATGGGACTGGGTTGAGGGGCGGCGGGATAAACTCAGGTGATCACGCAGGAGATAGTCAGGATAGTCACAGAGGGGCATGGGTTTTCGAACACGAACGTCTCGGCCGGGACCCGACCCGCGCGCCGAAGTCTGTGCATGACATGACGGAATCAGCAGGTCCCTGTTGCGCGAGCTACACGGTTAGGGCGGCGGACCTTATCTCCCTTGGGTATGCCCCCGTACACCCAACCCGTCATTGAGAGCGACGGACAAAGGGATGGGGTCAACGGTGAAGGGGGTGTGGTTAGCTGGAGCGTGAGAGAAACGTGTTCAAAGCCCCGGTTGGTAAATTCAATCCCCCGGAATGAGAATGTGCCTGATGGGCAAATAAACGGAAGCAACGCGTTCGCGCGTCGCCCCCAGAGCGCGCGGAACGCGTCTTCGCCCTTTCCTTCCGACGCCCATCATCCCCCAGACGCGTATTCTCACATCGAGTATTCCTCTCTGTCCGTGCCCCCATCCGATTATAATCTTTGTTTCAATGGTTGGCTCGCCGAACTCCGCAAACACCCCCTCGCCGCCCATGCCATTCGCCGCGGCAGCCCCCGTTCAGTCTGACTCAACTGACGGCGGGCTGGTAAATGCTCATGAGTACCTCACACCAGAAGAACGTCAGGAGCGTGAGGCACTCAAAGCTCGTCTGCGCGAACGCGTCGCGTACCAACAGGTTAGAATGTTTACTAACTATATCCCTTCGCACAGCCCCTGAACGCGTCGTACCGCGTGTTGATAGACGCGTCGCGCAGTGCGACGCGTTCGGGGACGCGTTTTATTACTCTTACTCGCTTTCGACGCGTGCACGCTCATGTAGGGACGTGTTTGACGCGTCCCTCACGCGCGTGCACGCGTCGGACGCGACTTACTCGGTCGTCATTATTCAAACCTAGTTTGGGGCGCGTTGCTAACCCATATTTATCTTCAGATGGCAAGAAACTTACGCGCGAAGTTGCAATACGCGGCGTACAAAGTTCGACATAACGTTTCACATCTAACATTCGAGGAACTCGAGGCGTCGGCGCGTCAAGAAACAGCCGCGGCACGCGTCCCTAACCCCAATACTCAAGCACGCGCCTTCATCGCCGCCGCGACGGCCGCCGCCAATGGGGACCCTGCCAACGCCCAGCGTCGCGGCTCTATGGCACCGCCCACTAATGTACCTGCCGGCGCTTCCTCGTCCAACCTTCGCGGACCTCCCAGAAGCGCGACTGATGGCGCTAACGCTACACAAAGTCTCTACGCGTCGATTCTTGCTCAACCGCCTCCGAGGCGAGCGCGTACGATACACAATGCCGACACCCAGCCAGTGCCGCCACCGCCGACTTCTAAACAAAGTGGCTCTTCTCGCACACGTAAGAGCCATCGCGGCGATACAGAGTATTCGTCCGTCGCCGAACGTACTCGCGGTAGCAAGAACTCCGAGGCAACTGCGAGTGGTTCCGGCTCCAAGCGCAAGGCACCCGCAAGTAGCTCGCGGAGCAAAGCCAGTAAACGCAAGCGCGGCGACGACGCGGCGGTGGCCTCTCGTGACGATGATCAAGATCTCCAGGCAGCCGCTACACTCACCGACCTGTTCCGCAATAGTCGGTCCAGCTTCAACGCCGGCAGCGTGCAAAGCCCGCGATCGCAAGCCTCGGAGCCATCGGACGTCGCTGGCAGCCAGCCCTCGCTCGGTTATCAGCAGAGCTCGGCTCGCACTCAGCCAGGCACGTCGCCGCTGATCCAGTCGGCCACGGCCGCGCCGGCTCAGGGTAGCCCGACGACGCCTCCTCGCGTCGAAGCCTCCCCGATGCAACGCACAGCAACGGCTGGCTCTTCTGCTGCGGCTTCGACAGTCTCGTCTACGCAGCATCTTACTGCTACGGGCGGTACGTCGACGGGGCCTGTTGATCAGGAGGCAGTGAAGCTGCTGTACTACCTCCACGAGAGCCCGTCTCCCGCTCGCCCGCAAGTCGGTGCTACTGCGCGCGAGCGTGACGCGCATGATGCGGCGACCTTCCGAGCTCTTGCCGGAAAGAATGCTGCGTCGACCTCCGACGTTCAGGCGAATGGACGTGTTCTCTTCCCAGGCGAAGAAGCTCGCTCCGGAAGCGCCGCGTCGGCGTCTTCGCTTCCTGCGCGTTCAGGGTCGGCGGGTTCGGGAAGCCCTGCTCCAAGTATGGAGCATCTTCCGCCGCATGCGCGTAAAGTCGCGCAGGAGCCAACAGTCGTTGTGGACCCGCCCTCGCCGGCTCATGATGTCGAGATGCGTGATGCAGATGTGCCGCCGCCTACCATGCGTGTCACACCGCCCACGCCAACAGCGCCTCCACCCGCGCCGAAAGAGCCCTCGCCGCCGCGCGACGATGCTTTGCCGCAAGCAGTGCCGCCGTCATCGTCGGCTTCGGGGGCGATGTACGCAACCGGGCCATCGTACACGCGCGCATCCGTCGAGGCCGCATGAGGGTCGTGATGATGGAGTTATAGAGTGGATGCCCGCGTGCCCCGCAATACACGGTTCGGATCGACACATGGGTGGCTTGCATCTCTTTTTCGGTCGTCTATCTATGCCATGACAGTATGAACATTCGGTCTTGGGTTGTTCGTGTCGCCTTGCAGTCTTGGATCCCCTTGTGTACATCATCGCCACCATTGCCCTTGGCATGGTCCCCTGTGAATAATCAGACACAATATTCCTTCTTCAATATCCTATGCATTCTCTTCTCCCTCAATGTATATATGTGTTCCTATGGTTCTTGAATGTAAGTAGCAGATGGAGGTTCATTAGAATGTAATATACTTCAGTATGACTTAATTCTGAGTGTGTCAACGATATGTCTGAATTTGTGCTTTGTGTCTATAAAATACTGTATGCAGTATCATAGCAGACAGCATGTAGTTTGTTAGTCTAAGTGTGTGATGCAAAGGTACATATGATATACCAGACATGAGGTCAATAAGAAATAAGAGCAAATTGAACTTAAAAATAGGATGTTTAAATAAATATAATATATCTGTAAGGCACTGGTGTTGTTATTTCTGTACTGCGGCCACATATATTGCAACAGTACACATATAGCCTCCCATCCCTTAACACAAGTGTGAACACACGATAAAAGTAGTTATATATTTCAGACCTCTAGCTAAGTATATGAGAGTATATTGTGAAGAGCCTACAAGTCATTGTATAGATGTTGATGTGATGACCTATACAATGATTCATTAGTGTCCCAATATGGTCATTAGTGACTTGAATCCATGATGTCATCTGATTGTGGACATTGTGAAGCCCCTGTCACTCAGGGGCTTTAGTGTGGCTCAGCGTGACATGTTATGCTGTAACCCGATCACAACTCGCACCTTCTTTTGCGATGTTTGAGAAAATCAAGATCCCGGAATACGGGAGCCAAGTTGCGGGGCACAGGATCCGGCATTTCGGCAGGTTGGCGGGGATCATCAAGTTATCTAATCATGATAAGAAGAGATAAGCTTGATCAGCGGGCTGTATAGGTTCTATCTGCCTCTTGTGAGTTCTCATGCACTCCGAGTACATACTTGGGACGTACATTGTATGCTAGTCTTGGCTCACGTACCGGAGGTTCGATAGATCGCACATCTAGAGAGCTGAGCCCAACGCCGCGGGGGAACACGCGCCGGCCCGGCCCGGCCCGACGCCTCCCATCGCCAACGACGCGCTCTGCTTTAGCCTTGACGTCGATGGGGCGCTTGCCAGCATATCTGGAAGCGGTCACCGCTCCGCGAATATATTTCTCATTGTCTTGTATATGGTCTCGGCTTTTTGTGTCCTTGAACTGCTCCCAGTCGATACTGAGAGCAAGAGGGAATGCCGACTGAGAAGCCGCGATCGAGCAAACCAATCGTTGCGGGTTAGGAAGGACGCTTAGTACAGTTCGTCCGAAGATGGAGTGAATACAGGTCTATACTACACGTGCGTACATGATGACTCCCTTGATTCGGTCGAGTGCTTACCCGGTATCCGCCCAGTCCTCGTTATAGCGCCTGAGGATCCTCCCCTTTACGCCCGACTAGCCCACGACGCCACGCTTCGGGCACATGAGACGGACATCGCAGGCTCTGAGCTGTGCTGTGTTTGCCCTCCTCGGGCTCGAGACACGACGAGCCATTCGCATTCGCCCCACAAGTGTGGTCCCAGGACGAACCCAGTTTTTGATGTGGTCTCATCTACATGGCGGGCGCGCGACGCCGACCACTTCCAGGGCATCAGGTACCTGGTAATTCGGACCGCGCTGGCTGCGCGCGTGGCAGGACGTCAACGAGCAAGTTCCTTCAAAAGCAAGCCTTAAATTTGGTCGGCGTGCGCATCGGGAACCGCATAAATCTCCTCGCGAGTGTACACCTAAAGTTTCGAGCTTCATTGCTTGAACCTCACCTCTATGCGCCAGCAAAGCATCTCCTCGATGGGGCAAGTCCGTCTACTGCGCTCCCACCTGCGACTGATACGACCCTGAACATGTTCGCATCGCTGATGATACACATATAGAACGCCCATGGATGTTACGCGAATCATCGGAGTGGGTGCGTACTAAGCGCTTCTCTTCTGATGCCCTTGAGTGCCTATCATACATCTGGCAGATAACGCACGCGGGACCCCAAACACAATGAGCTAGAAGATATCCGCTCGTAGGATGTCTTGTACGCTCGCTTCTGACCATCGGTGAACGCTCGCTTCTGACCATCGGTGAACGCGCTATACAGCTCAGTCGCAGGTTCTCAGCATCGCGGCCCTTTGATGTCTCCGCGCCGGTCATTGAAGGAGACTATCGTCGGGCGCCCTATACGCGCGCCGCCCGGTCAGTTTCATCAGCATAGCCATCGGTCATCTGTTTGACGAATAGTCTTCGCCTATAAGATGTTGACGCAATGCTTTGGTCTCACCTTTTCTGCTCGCGGTCTTTCTCGCGGGTGGTTTCCGCACGTTCATGCGCGACCGTCATTCGATCTCCCGGATAGTACACTTATATATTGGAGCATGAGCGACGCTGTCGCTGCTGTTGTACCACAGTCCGTTCGTGAGTTGCTTAGTTGCTCATTGAGTCGGAATGCCTCTAAACTCCGACTGTACAGTCACGACTGTGAAGTTAATCCACGTCTTTGGCGGGATCTATATGTACGTACATTGCTCCAGCTTGAGCCTCGCCTCATGCTAAATACGCCTAGATGGGAGTGGGTTACCACTTTGCGGTTTGAGTGGGAGGTCTTCTCGGGCAAACGAAATTTCCGTTGGTCGTTCTGCGTCTATGTCATCTGCCGGCTGTTTGCGCTCGCGGCCATCATCCTCGCATTCGTCGGGTTCAATGTTACTTCCGCAATAAACTGCAATGCGTGGCTTCGCTCGTTGCTCGTACGTCGGAATCCTTACAGATCCTGTGGCATGTCGCTAATCAGGAAACGGCAGATTTTTGCATGGTTCGGTATCGGCTTCTCCTCGCTGTTGATCTTACTGCGAGGGTGCGTCCGCCGCTTACTGGGTACCAAGCCCTGTTCTGACATCGCCTGTCTTCCAGAATTGCCCTGTGGGCCGTCGATTGGAAGATCGTGTCAGTCATGTCAGCAACATGGCTAACGACGTTTGGATTTTCGCTCTATAGTACGTGCATCTCCCGTCCCGCGCAATTTCATCTACGTAGCGCGACTGACAGGATGTGCCAGGTATACAGCAGGTTCGTAGTCATACGAATGGTATCGAACCATCACCCTGACAATGGGTTCCACGCCAGGGTCATGCCGAATGGTCACCCGCTCTGAAGTCTTGCACGATCACCGATACTTATAGGTACAAATGGGGCTTGCTTGTAAACCTGGTCGTGGAGATCATTCTACTCGGGATCATGTTCACTGGCGTGCTGAGCAAACGCAACGGGACTGGTCTATGGCGCGTGCTCTTCGTGCAGGTGCGTCTGCGCGAACATCGGCTTGTATTATCACTGATATCACTCTACTTAGGGGATCGTATGGATGCTTGTCGCAGTCTTCTCCAAGCTTCCCTCAGTGGTGAGTACTCGAGTATTGTGTCGACGCTACAAAGATGCTGAGCGCCTCTGCGCCTGTAGATCCTGAGCTTCCTGAACATTGACGACGGGTGGAACCTAGTGAGTCTCTCTACGGCGAATCATGGCACACATCCAGGATCTGACTGTATAACCGTAGATGTTTCAGTTCCCGCATCGTGAGTTCCGGCAACATGTGGTGATGCACAATAGCTGATGAATGAGAACTTCTACGCACTTCTAGTCGTGATCATGTACGGTTACGATCACTGCTCTCGATCGACTGGTGCTGACCATATTGTTATCTCCAGTATCATAGTCGCCACACGAGTGTACCGAGGGCTTGTGGATTACATATCCCCTGCTGGGTGCGATTACTTCATGACGCTCTTCCGTACTGATCTAACCCTTTCCGCTTTCAGGTCGACGACTTCGAGATTGCGACCCATGCAACCCCGTTCAAACAACGAGGCCGCGATGCAGGTCACAGTCCACAAGACGGTAGATATCGAGGTGGACGTCGGGTCACGCCTGTCCGCATCGCACATCGGGCGCTCGCGCTTTTTACAGGGGGATTATATAGTAGACGCGTCAGAGCATGTAATTTCTCGGGGAGAAAGGGAGGCCAAGGATATGCTGTACACACCTCTATGATACGGCTCGGATACTGTACGTTGTAGCAACATAGTAGAACTGTATTTAACTGTCACGGTGATCTCCACCAGGAACCAGAGGGGCCAGATTCACCGCAAGGTCAAGAAAACGTAGGAAAACGTCACGTCAGCGCCAGTGTGAGCATGGAACGGCAATTCCGTGTGTGGCGCGGCCGGCACATACCGACCCTTGTCTTCAACCTCCATGCTGTTGAGGATGTAGCGCACCACAACCCTCTGGCTTGTCCCACCGAGTACCACCATAAGCCCTCGAAGCTTGAAACTGCCAGATATTGCTATTCGAACATGTCTTCTTCGCCGCCTCTGATCATCGGCCGCCCACGTCAACGAGCATGACGATCTGGATGTCTCGCTCAGACACTGCGGCTCAAGAAGCACACCCACCCCGTGTGGATGTATCTGAGGCATTGCAGTGTATAAAAGGCACCATATTGCTGGCTTGGTGTCTATCATACTCTGTCTCCTCGCATGGCGTCGTTACCAAACGATTCGTTGACTGCTGGTCTACGCGGTCTGGACGAGAGACTGCCAGTCACCATCCGTCACGAGTGGGCATCACTTTTGACCATCTCCTCGAGAACGTCTGCTGATGATACCCGCGGCTTAGTATCTATCCAACCATCGACCCTCAAGAGCTTTATGAAGCACAGACCTTCAAAAACGACGTTGTACTTGTCACCGGAGCCTCCAAAGGTTAGCTTGCCGTTCGTCACAGGTCACCAGATTCTGATTTGCGTTTTGTGCGGACGAAGGTATCGGAGCAGGCATAGCTCTCGGTTTTGCCAAAGCGGGCGCAGCGGTTGTTCTCGTGGCGCGCCAGCAGTCGACGCTTGACGACTCGGAGGCCGAGATCCTGAAGGCGGTACCGGGAGCTCGAACCAAGACCATCGTCGCTGATGTTACGGATTGGAAAGCCTCCGAAGCGGCTATTGACGCAGCTGTGAAGCACTTCGGCCGTCTGTCTATACTAGTATGCAACGCTGGTACGACGACGAAGTTGGAGACGCGTGCGTACCATTTCTCCCGCTGCATAGGATCTTTCGAGTCGTGCCCAGACTAACTGTGACTGATAGCCATCATTGAGAAGGATCCTGATGCTTGGTGGAAGACATTTGAGGTCAGCCGTCTTGCCTACCCATATGCAGAATTCCCACAACCATTTACAGGTCAACGTTCGCGGCGTCTTCAACTTCGCGCGGTACGATAGCCATTCGTCTCACGCATGCTGTTGGCTCACGAAGTGATAGAGCTGCGCTACCGCATCTCAAGGAAAGCAAGGGTTCATTCTTCGCACTCTCATCAGGAGGTGCTCAAGTACGCATGCGAGGGGGCTCCGACTATAACACCAGCAAGCACGCCCTCAATCGCTTTGTTGAGTATGTCGCACTGGGTAAAGTCTTCCTCTCTGGAGGTTTATCGATCAGATTTGTTGATACATCTCTCAGAAACGCCTGAAATCGCCGCTTTCACCATCAACCCTGGTCGGATTGCTACGGCTCTAGCGGATGCTGCTGGACTTACTGGTCCAGGGTCATCTTTTGTTGGCACCGATACTATCGAGCTGCCGACTGCGACATTGCTCTATCTTGCGTCTGGTAGAGCGAATTGGCTTTCTGGGCGGTGAGTCTGGCCCCATAGCTGTGAAGTTTGGGCTTACTGACGACGCGCCTTAGGTACTTGTCTTGCAACTGGGATCTATCTGAGATAGAGAGCGACTGGAAAGCCAAGGTCCTGGAGAAAGACGCGCTGGTGAATAAACTATCGATCCCTTGAGCACGTCTTGGGCGCCTGCCGCCTCAGGCAGACTCTGATTGTACACCTATAGCTATTCCAATGAACGTATCGTATCGTTTCAACGCTCTATCGATGTGGAGTGGCGCGCTTGCTTGAGGTTCTGGCCGTTGCCCATGGCGTCTTCTGCTGGGACTAACGTACAAAATGAGGTAAAGCTTCCAATCAAGCGAGTTCCACGCTCAGCGCGTATAAAGCGCGGGATCGCGCGCACGGGGCTCTCATAGCGTCATGACCTTCTCTTGGCCAAAAGGCTATCTGGAAAACCTGCCAGTTACCCGCCGTCATGGGTGAGTGGTTATCGGCGCGCGTCTACAAAGCGCCGTTGATACCCGTCCGGATAGCATTTACCCTACTATCGATCCTGAGCAGGCTTGGAAAGAACAGAGTTACCATGACAAGGTGGTCCTCGTCGTGGGAGCCTCGCGAGGTATCGGACAAATGGTCGCTCTGTTCTACGCGAAGGCCGGTGCTTCGGTCGCCGTTGCGGGGCGGTACCAGGACACGCTGGACAAAACGAAGGATATGATCATGAATGAGAAGACCGATGCACAAGTCATGACCTGCTGCGTCGATGTCAAGGATAGTGGTGCGGCGCAGGGAGCCGTCCTGTCCGCTGTACAGCGTTGGAAACGCCTTGATATCCTAGTGGCCAACTCTGGCGCAATCAATCCATTCGACAAGAGTGAGTAGGTATAAGCCTCGCGCCCGTCATCGACATCTGACGTCGAACATTGAGCAGCAATGGCGGAACGTGATCCTGATGCCTGGTGGGAGGTCTTCACAGTCAATGTCAAGGGAGTATACAACTTTGTTCGGTATAGCAAGATCCTCGGCATCATGTGTATGCCGCTGACATTAATCATGATGCAGGGCCAGCGCTCCCTATCTGAACGAGACCCGAGGGTATCTTGTGGTCGTCAGCTCCATAGGCGCTCAGCTTCGAACACCTCTCGGCAGCGAGTATAATGTGAGTGTCAGCCTTCCTGCACACGGTCGATTGCGTCATACCGGGTATAGATCTCGAAGCACACCCTGAATAGATTGGTCGAGTATGTTGTTCAGGGTCTGTCTTCCTGCACTCAATGCGTCTGTATCTTTGGATCTAATAACGCCCCGTTCAGAAAATACAAATCTGATCGCATACTCCTTCCATCCCGGAAGCGTCAAGACTGAGCTATTGAAGGAGTCCAAGCTCGAGGAACTAGGAGCACCGGCAGACGATCCGCCCGAGCTACCAGCTGCGGTCCTGTTGTATCTCACCTCTGGTAGAGCAAACTGGTTGAATGGGCGGTGCGTGATGTGGCGCATACGATGCAACAAACGCTGAAACGCTCGTTAGGTACGTGGATGCGTCCTGGGATCTTGAGGAGGTCGAGAGGGTTTGGAAAGACAAGATACTCGAGGAAGATCTGCTCGTCAATAAGCTGGCCGTATGAAAGTAGCGCAGTTGATGGATCGATACGGAAGCTGCCTGTCGTCTCTCAGGCCTTGTACAGTATGCGTCATGCCAAATCTACTCGTATCGCGATGTGCGCCTGCGGTGGCGGATGGGCATCCGTTTGGCTGTCAGATCACGGTGCCACTGGCTATCATACATGTTACCGGCTAGACTCCTTTCTCCCATGTGGGCCGAGGGTCATGGAAGATCCAACGGCTAGCGTGCTTCACGATCTGTTCACGATGATCATGTGTGTACAACGCCACTTGAATTGCGAGCTGCATGTCGACAGCCCCGATGGAAGCGGGGGCATGGGCTGAGAAGGCCAAGTTAGATCCCTGATAGGGGCAAGAAGGCCCACAAAGCAGCGTCAGAGGGACGCCATGTGAAAGCCTGTCAGCAACTGCATAACGACGGGAACGACCTGTTCGAGGCTCGGATCTCAAACGGAAGATGGTCAAGAGAGAGGCGTGGGTGCTGGAAGCAAGCACAATTGAGATGTAGGTCCTCGAGACGAACAAAGATACGCCCGCCCTCGCCCACACTTCTCTTCCTACAACTGCCACGATGCCCAACAACGAAGATGTGCAACATGCTCACAGCGCGTTCTTCGCGAACACCGTGGGCGCTTCGGAGAATATGCCGGTTTCGTTGACGAGGCATCACGAGTGCGCGACATTCTTCTTTGAATGGTGGAGGGCTCACTCGGAACCTCTAGCGTATACCCCACCATCGACCCGACAACGCATTTCAACCATCATACGTATCAGGACAAGGTTGTCATCATCACGGGCGCCAGTAGCGGTATCGGGCTCGATATAGCCATGCATTATGCAAGGGCGGGCGCTTCCGTGACCATTGTGGCGCGCAACGAAGAGACGCTAGAGACCGCGCGGGTATCCATAGAGAACGAAACCGGGAACACACGCGTGCTCGCCGTGTGCGCTGACGTGACTGTTCCTTCGGAAGCGGAGGGTGCTGTCAGACAGACGATAGAGCGCTGGAACAAAATCGACATACTGGTAGCCAATGCCGGAATCGGTACATCGTACACTACGCGTGAGCTTCCTTCACAAGAACTACGGGCCGAAGCTCAACTAATGTTGCACAGCTTTAGGAGAGATGGATCCCCTGACCTGGTTTGAGCCTTTCAGAATCAACATCTTCGGGGTGTACACATTCATCCGGTGTGTGGCCAGTGGCAGCCTCCCGGAAAGAGTCGCTCACTATCCGCGAACAAATCAGATACGCGATTGAGCACCTGCAGAAGACAAAAGGCTACATCATTGCGACAACATCTGGGATGGCGCAGCTTCGAATTCCGAATCTGAGTTCATACGCGATATCCAAACTGGGGGTGAACCGGCTAGTCGAGTTTGTGGATGTTGGTAGGTCGTCCGATCACTGAGTAGGACATGGCTGACCGTCGCGAAAGAGTACGGTCGCACAGTGACGGCCTTTGCTCTGCATCCAGGAACAATTCGAACGGCCATAAACGCAGCTGCCCAGAACATGCCGACGCCAGATACAACCACATTGGCCGCGGCTACAGTCCTTTACTTGACATCCGGACAAATAGACTGGTTACACGGACGGTACGTCGTTCGCTGTGGCTTTCTAGAGCGCGCGCATTGACTTACCATCCCAGATACGTCTCTGCGAACTGGGATCTCGCGGAGCTGGAGAGAGATTTCAAAGATAAGATTCTCAAGCAGGACAGTCTAGTGACGAAACTGGCAATGCCGGTATAAAATATAACACTTGCAAAATATCACGGCACCAGATCACAAATTGATTGTACATTCACATCTACAGCGAAGAGTCAGCGATCATAGGGCAAGATCACAGGTGCGTCTGGAGACGAAGCTTACTAGCTCTATTGATGGGTTGATTGGTGAAGGTATACATGATGACTGTCGTAAAGATCGTAATGCGTCGTGACCAGGCTCTACTCCGACACCAGAAAGCCGACCATGCATGAATCTAGCATGTAGTCTAGATTGACCCATGAATGTGTTTCAGCTATCCGTCTGGTCAATGTGTGAACGCAACGGTCTATATGCCACGCACCAAAGAGTTTCGTCCCGTCTCTGCCAGCTACTCGCATCAACTCTCGCGCGCCGCCAGGATGAAAGTCGATATACGGCGTGATGTTGTAGACCTTCCCACTGAATGCAGACCAGGCATCGTCTCGCTTATTGTGCTGTTTGAGTACAGATGGAGGGATGCGCATTAGTTGAGTGACTCCTCCCTTGAAACACCATCAGATGTGGGGCATGGAAGGGGGATTCAAGCAAACATTACCCTCATATCTTCGCCAGATTTCTTGAGATTCGCCCAATCAAGCGGACTGTGCCCTGGTGCAAGGGCAACTTTTTGGCGCTTCTTCTGAGCCGGGCTGAGTGCTGGGTTCTTGATCGTCACAGAAGGAGGGAGTAATCCGCCTCCTGATGAAGGAGTGCCGAGTGGATTGCGAACCGGTGCAGGCACGGGAGGTGGCGGCATTAACGCAGAGTCGCCGAGAATACGAGGGACATCGAGCGCGCGTGACGAGGACGCGCGTTGAGCGCTATTCTGCGCGGGAAATGAGGGTGCCACATCATCGTCTTCTTCGGGAAGATCAACGGTTATGTTCGTCGGTGTCGTTTGAGAGTCGGTATCTTCCGAGTCTGTCGGTGCCGAAGGAGCGGGTGCAAGAGATGACGGAAGCCATGAGCGTAGATATGCAGACATGATGTATGGCGGTTGCGGTATAGGCTCTATGTTCGCCAGCACTCTATGTTCGAGAGTCAAAGCGCGAAGAGATGGCGGTAAGGGTCAAGATGCGTGCGGCCAATAGCCACACGCGCCTGCATAAGAGGGCGCGAAAGTCAGCGACGCGCGCCTCTTCTTCTCCCACCATGCATCGTGGGCTGGTAGAGTTTGATAATCCATTCCATCATGTCCCCCAGCTCTCTGCAGAGCTAGCGCTTGAATGGGCCTTTCGTCTCTCAGCGGGAAAGCGATCTTAGCCTGTAGACCTCGACACTCTCAAGCCGGATATGGGCTAGGCAACTTCGGCGCTGCCCACTCCGAGTCACCAGTACTCTTAAGCGCTTTCATGCACACGGGGTTATGTTTCTGATCTCATTCTGAACAACCCCACTTGTGAACGCCCAAACCCCGGCCGGGCGATGTATCGCGGCTATAAGAAGCGGAATCGAGAGTACGATTCATCTGAAGTCGAAGGTCGACGACCACCTTCTAACGAGGTCCCTTGCCGACGACGTGTCACGGCCACTCCCAACGTATGAGAGTCTGCGTACTTGGCTCTGGCTTTGCTGGCCTTATCACAGCGCATGTGCTTCTCTCGGATGGATTCGACGTAGAAATCGTGACCGGCGATGCCACGCCTGGCGGGGTGTGGTCTCGTGCCAGAGTTTACCCCGGCCTGAAGATCAATAAGTGATTTGTGCAACCTGGGCTTTGAGGATACGGCTATTCAAGCTGACACAACCCATGTAGTGTCTATGGCGAATACAGATTCTCCTTCTTGCCCATGGCCCCACCCGAGAACGCCGATGGACATATGTCCGGCGACGACATGTGCGCATACGCGGAGACATTCGCGGAACGTTACCTCGCACGTCACTTCCGCTACAACACATTCGTTCGGAAGCTGCATCGCTTGAAGGATGGCTGGCAGCTTGACACGGTCCATGTGCATACGGGCGCTGAAGAAGTTCTGCACTATGACAAAGTAGTGCTTTGCACCGGCGTAGGTATGTTATCTACTCGGCGTAGGCAGTCACTGATGTTGTTCTCGCGCTAGGCTTGTCATGTACCACATGTCCCGGATACCTTGAAGAGCGAGGCGGCGGATGCGTCGAAGTTCGCCGGTTTGGTCTTTCATTCTCGTGATATCGGGGATCGTATACGAAATGGAGACCTAAAGGCCAAATCTAAGATTATAGTGGTGGGAGGAGGAAGATCGGCGCAAGAGTACGCTTATCCGCTGATGCAGAGCCAAGCGCGTCATACTGAGAACCGTCCGTAGCGCTGCCAAGTATCTCGCGAATGCCGGCCATAGTGTCTCTATCGTATTCGAGAAAGCAGACGCTTTCTTAGCCGCTGCCCCTCCTGGTCTCCCCGATTTCATTCGAAGAAGCCGCTTTTTGTCTATCCTGTTGCCGCATTCCTCTTTGGACTCGAGGCTCGAGTAAGCGAGATCATCGATATCTCCAAGATTATGGCCCTCATCTTCGATCTTAGACGCTTCCTACACCGAACCCGCGTCGGTGCAATGATAGTGCATGCCACGCTTGGTGCTATCATACGATCCTCAGTAAGAGTCTTTATATCTCATCTATCTATCTATCCTCGTTTCTTGACGCAATTCCATACGTAGTTCTCGGCTATGTCTATCCCAAAAGACTCGCCGCTTCGGAATACGCATTCCTTCTTCTGGGGTGTGCGGATCAATGATGAGGGCACGCCTTCCCCCGACTCGTTCTTCGCATTGGTAAACTCTGGGAAGATCACCGTCCACTCACCCGCACGAGTCTCTGGCTACGCGCGCGATGGGAGTGGCGTAGAACTCACGGGCGGCCGTGTACTGCCTGCTGATGTTGTGGTACTTGCGACTGGATACAAGTCGTCTTGGGACGGCATACTCGACGATGTCAGGGATGAACTCGGCCTTCGATGCGATCTCTCAGAGCACGACGAACAAGCGTTCAAAGCCGAGTGGCAGTATGTCTCCATGGCCAACCCGCCCCCTTCGCGTCCCGATGCACCGATCGCCGCATCCATCTATCGAGGACTTGTGCCCGCCCAAACCCTCGACAGGCGTGACTTTGCTATCAACGGCGCCATCGTGAGTCCTTCGAACACACAATGATCAACTTCTTGAGCCCTTATGCTGATCTCCTGAACTAGTTCACGACCAACAATGGCTACGTACTCGAGATATCGGCTCACTGGATATCGTCTTACTTCCTTCGTGATGCCTTTCTCACCATCCCGCGTTCCCCCGAGGAAGCCTCGCACCATGCGCGCAGAACCGCAGCATGGCTACGCCGGCGGCATCCTCGCCAGCTCGGCTGGACAAATGAGAGTTACAGCGCCGGCATCGCTTTCTTCGAGTACGTGCTATGTGATATGATTACAACGTGAACTAAGCTTCATGCTCCTCTCTTAGTTGGCCACAAGCGATGGATGAGCTCCTCCAAGACATGCACCTGCGCACGTACAGAAGCGGCGGGAACTGGCTCACTTGGCCATTCAAAGTGATCGATCTTTCGCAGATCGCGACTTTGAATGAGGAGCGCAGAGCGTTGCGAGAGGGTAACGTAGCGTAGCATTGGATACAGCGGTATAGATCGTGATAACATGATGAAACTCTACACAAGGACTATCCGTCAGACAGACGAGACTCCACGCCCTGGATGCTCGTGGTGCACAGAGACCTTGGCGTCACTTCGACTGTCATCCACACTCATGACCTCGGGCTCCGTTTCGGCGCGAAGCTCCTCTACGGGTCGGGCACGCTTTCCGCCAAGGAAGACGCGACCGCCTGGCGCGTCTTGCAGGGAGCGAACGACCATGTGGTCCTCGAAGAGGAAGCGAATATCTTCGAGAGCGTATCCACTGGTCTCTGGCAGGAGGAAATACGTGTAGATCGACATGATGAAGCAGCATAGGCCAAAGATGAGGAAGGTCCCATAAGCGATTTTGTCGATGAGGATCGGTGTTATGCGACTGATGGTGAAGCTTGAAGTGAGACGGTCAGCATCCCGTAAAACCTGCGCAATTAATCACGTACCTGAAAAGCCAGTTGATGGCGACGGCGAGAGCCATCACGGCCGTACGCAGGTGGTTAGGTGCAACTTCGCTGGCTACGACCCAAGGCACGGGACCCCAACCTGACGATGATTAGACGGAACGTCGCTGATCGCGATGCATGTAAACACGTACCGATACAGTACCCAACAGCATACAGGTAGACGGCAACGAGGGAGACATAGGAGGCAGGGACGATAGTGGCTTCCGGGTGAACAGCACTGAAGCCACCGATCCAGAGCATTGTAACGGACTGGAGGAGCCCACCATAGAACAGGCAGTTCTTGCGTCCAAATCTCTCGACAGCGAGTACGAGCACAGTTCCTACGGAGACGACCTTGACGACACCGTAGATGCCTGTGGCGAAGAGAGTGGAAGTCGTGGAGGAGAGACCAAGACCTGCGAAGATCTCCGGGCTGAAGTAGTTCTGTGGGTAGGAATCAGCTTGAATCCCTTGGTGTATATAGAGCGCGTAGTGCGTACAATTGCATCTGTTCAGTGTATCAGGCATGATATCGGGACAGACAGAGTACGCATGACACGTACTGGTTCCGGTCCACTGCTGGAAAAACATGACCAAACTCGGTATGAAGCATCGTATGGCTGTGACGCGGTTCTCGCCCATGAGCTGGAATTGCCGCCACAACGGGATCTTCGAGCGGCCAGTGAACTCCTCATCGATCTCGGCCAGGGTGTATTGAACAGCGGGGTCATCTGCTCGGGTGCCTGCAGCGCGAGCAAGCGAATTCGCGGCACGGTCGCGCTGACCGTGTTCGACTAGCCAACGAGGCGACTCCGGCTGGAACAGCATAGCGAAGGTGAAGATCACCCCAGGCACGAGTTGCACAATGAAAGGGAGTCTCCTGTACGAAGCATGATCAGGCACGATGGAGTACACATATGAGGGAAGCCGTACCACTGATATTCTCCGATATCGCGCTGAACAGTAGAGTAGTTCACCCAGACTATAACATGGTCAGCCCTCCGTTGTACACCAGCAAGTTAGCACCAAACGCACATGAAAGCATGATGCCAATGTTGTTGGAGAACTGGATAGAACCTGTGCACCTAATGAAGCATCAGATAGTCGTCAAGCAGATGCTGAAGACTTAGGCGTACCTGCCACGAATAGCCTTGGGAACGGACTCCGACACGTAAGCGGGCACAAGAGCTGATACCATCCCTACTCCAAAGCCTCCAACGAATCGTCCGAAGTATAGAACGCTCAGTGCCGTGCTGGCACTCGAGCCAAGACCGACGATGCTCTGGATGACGGAACCGATGATGTAGATGATACCTGCTGCGATGAGAGCAGGTTTCCGCCCAAAGCGGCCTGCGATATATCCAGTACCGAGGGCGCCAAAGAATGAGCCTCCTTGCAAGATACTGACGATGTTGCCGTTCAGGTTGGCTTTGTCGGATGAGCTCAGCTTGTCGACTCCGAAGTAGGACTTGAAGCTGTCCATGGCGATGACACCTCCTATGAGCCCAATATCCCAGCCGTAGAAGATGGAGCCCATGCAAGCCGCGGCCGTGAGCTGATACGCATGTCGATACGTTCGTAAATGCTCCAAGGTGCTCATTTTGGTGGAGGCCATTGTCGTCGAGTGGTCGTGAAGAGACTCGTGAAGCAGACTACAGATAGTTCGACGCCGCGAAGATCCTCGCAGCGATGACAGCCGTGGCAGAAAGCGAGAGCTCGGAGAACAGTTTCATGAGTCCGATGTCGATTTATGTACTTCGCCATCTATTGAGAACGCTAACGAGGCGTGTGGTCAGGTGGGCTTCTGCGCAGAGACCGGCGTCAACGGTCCGCGGTCAGGGAGATCATTAGCGCGCTACGAGGTTGAACCTGCTTGAACGATAGTGCGTAGCATTGTAAACAAACTGCCAAGCAAGGTGTCCTTGTCAATCGGTTCTGAATTTAAGGCAGCTGGTCGAGGGCGGAGGCAACAGTGCGGTCCGTTTCCGGCCCGCGTGCCAGATCACGGCAAATGCCGGCGGACTGACGCGGCTTTGGCGACGGCGTTCGCGTCGCGGCAGAGAGCCAGATATCCACAGCTTGTCCGATCCCATGATCATCGTATTTTGTCACTCAATGCATTGTGCTCAAGCTATTGAGTTCCGTAAGCCCTCGACTGGGAGGGCTGTCAATCCTTCTTACGCCGTCTTGTCAGTGACATACATCGCTGATCTACATGGACCGCAAAATCACGGTGGCGGAGCCTTGACCATCTACTCTCAGCGTCACTGCGCCAGGAATATGTTGCTTTGGAATGAAAGCTACAAAACAGTCTCTCCACAGTCCTCAAGATCTTTGCGACATGGGAGAACTACCGTCATGTAGCACGAGCTGTAACTTGAATCCTCGCACCCCGCATCATCTGTGCAGATCATTCAGTACTGGCGAAAGTAGGAAACAACGCTAGCTCACTATCACCGCCCCTATTGGCTCATGCGACCACTTCGGATTATGGTCTCCGAGCTCGAACCGTGCCGCAACAAAGAACCCGGCGGCAGCGTAAAACGGGACGTTAACCTCTGGCGCGCTGAGCCACATCCCGCGGCCCGACTGATCCGCCTGGTATAACTGTCCTCAGTGCCTGCTAAACGCATCACGGCCCGTGAATCTGAGACTGTACCTTATCTATCAGTGTTTGCAGGAGCGCCGTTCCGTACCCGCGCCCTTGTACCAAGGGATCGGTCCATATGTCCAAGAGTAGATCCCTGTGCCAAGGTTCGTGTTCGTTGTACGCTTCGAATGCCTCCTGTCTCGCTTTAGCGTTCTTGGCCAGTAGCTCTGCCCAGCGCAGACGCTGTTCAGACGTTCTGACAAAGTTGCGCAATAGGCTGAAGCAGATCCACACAACATCCTCAACCAGGCCTGGCTTCGGAGGTGTATGATCGGCCCCGTGTTGACTGGGAGGGACTCAGGAACAGGTCGGGCGAGAGAACAGGGAGCGTACAAGGTACATCCCGCGATACCACCGTCGATCTGCAAAGCTTCTTTTTGCACATCGGCGAGAGTTACAACCAGTTTGAGGTAGTACTCGAAGCGTTGTAAGATCGCCATGGCCAAGCGCCGCCACCAAGCGCCTTGGTCGTGCTAACAACTAGGATCAGCCCCGTTCCTCTGAGCGTCGAAGGTGTACAAGACTTCACCTCTGTGCGTAGATAGACCTTGAACGCCATTGGCTCGAAAGCGCGGTAGCCCGACTGAGCCGCTTGCGGGATATGCCCTACCATCATCAGGAGTTAGAAGCAGAACTGAATCGTGTTGGGCGTGGCCATGTACATAGACGCAACGGGGAAATGATCGGCTCTCCGACAGTACGATCTCCGCTCGTGTGAAAGAACTTGTTTAAGATGTTTCCCATGTCAAGGATGGAGATATCAGCAGAAGCACACATCCTATCTCATATATATGTGCGCAACGTGTCCTGCCACGCAGTACGCACACGCCATCGAGAGTCAATACCGCTCGCGATTGTTACTGCGCTTATGAATACGCTGAGCTCTCGTTCGGAGTGTGCAAGCCAGTAGGAGCCGCAGACATACAGTCGAAGTGGGCCGCAGCGGAGAGAGAACGAGGAAGCCTTCAAGGTCCCTCAGTAGCCTATCATGCCGGCTGCGGCTGCGGGAATAGGCTCTCGCCGTCATACAGTACAATCTGAGATAGTACAGCCTGTGGTGTGCCGCTCATACGGCAGAAGTCGTACAAGAAGAAATCGGTGATACAATAGGTGCACGCAGCGTCTCTCGCCGCTCCTTTGGCAGACGTCAAGCAGCATCAAGGCCGTAGTGTCAGGACTTAGTGAGATTGAATCGGCTTGCCGCACACCGCACGATGGGATAGAAGAGAACGACAGTTGATCTTCTCATCCGTGCTGTGAGGCCATAGGAGGGCTCGATCATGGCCGTCGAAGACAAGGAGCGTCGACGTCGACGGCACCCCGACCATCAACCACGCACGCCGCTTTTCACATGAGATCCCAGTCCCCCACACACGCACACAATTAGGAATATGCAATGGTACTTCTAGTACTACAAGATTTGATTGTTCATCCTATGCACAAAACGCGAGCCCCAAGCACAACCGCAAAAAAGACCATAACACAAGGGCGAATAATCAACAAGAAGAATAGAACGAGAAAAGAGAAGAACGCCTGTCCGCTGGATGGTAATACTACGCGCGAGAATGTCAAGAGCGAGGGTGCAGAGCAAGGAAAAGATGAGGCAGAGATAAGTAAGCAAGGGGGGTAGAGGGAGAGGTATAGTCAAGATCTGTAGGTAAGACCGATCGAGCAGCGACGCGGATAATTTAGCAAGAGCAAGTGAGGGGTAGCACGGGCAACGGCGAGCGAGGCGGGGATAGAGGAATATCTACATACTATTCAGGCGCACCGGTCGAATGGGAGGTACGGGGCCGGATGGGTGGACTAGAGGCTACACAAAAGGGATTGACAATTCGGCTTTGATTCTGTTCTGTTCTGTTCTTGGCTTTGGCGGCGGCTTCCGCATCTTCTTCATCTCCATCTTCATTCGTTCTCATCCTCCCCTTCTCTTCTTGATCGTCGTCGCAAAGTCGTGGAAGGCGTGGATGGGGCGTGGCATGACGACGGCGAGAGCCCGGAAAGCGAGCCTCGAGGTGGGAAGGGCAGGGGCGATTGGGCGCTCATCCGGATCTTGCACCTCGGCATCAGGACGTGACGCGATTAGCGTGCGGTCGGCATCTGCTGCGCGTACAGCGGAGCGCCCGAGAAGGAAGACGGCCAAGTATGGGCGGCGTCCTGAGACACGGCGATCCAAGGTCTTCGGAGAAGTCCGTCGTGGGCGGACGGAGGGCCGCCGCCTTCGGATGAGCCGACGATGACGGGGAAGAATGGGGATGTTGAGCGGTCGGACAGCCGGAGAAGCAAGGGCATGTCGAGGCGATTATCCGAGGCCCGATGTGGGCGGCGTAGCAAAGCGAGTAGAGTAGCATAGACATGACACGGGTAATCCAGAGGAAACCAAGGCGCGAGCGTGAATAATGATATCGTAGCAAGTGTGGCCGAACTGAAGAGCGTGCAGACTGCTATACAATCAGCCCATTGGGGCCGACGTTGCCGATGTCCCAACCGGCTTCGTTCGGCGGAGGCGGAGGGATCCCGTCGCCAGACGCAGCTTGTTGCCCCTGCACGGCCTCGTTCGCCTTGACGCAACCAGCGCCGCCCTCAGATTTGACTGTATAATGTTAAGCATCTCAACAAGTACCGCAGTTGGAGAGATCAACGTACGGTGCCGGTTCAGTGCGTCAAGCCGTGCAAACGGCTTCCGACATCCCTCGCACGTAAATGGGCGGTGATTCGAATGAAGCTGCTCGTGCCGCTTGCAGTCGTGCTGGCGAGCGAAGCCCTTGTTGCATCCGGGCCATTTGCAAGTGAACGGCTTCTCGTCATTGTGACTGCGCATATGGCCTATGAACGTGGTCAACATCGTGTATTCTTCGCGAAAGAGGAATACGCACCCTTCAAGTTGAAGTGTCGCGTGAACGTGCTGCCGCACCCTGGAACGGGGCAAGCGAACTTGGCGTCGTTCGTGCGTCGGCGGAAGCTTGCCTCAGCCGTAGCACTCGTCGTAACGTTGACCTTCTGGACCGGGGCTCCTTGCTGAGTCGGCACAACGGCGAATCCGTCGTATTGCTCCTGCAAGTACTGATCCTGAGGCGCGTACAACTCGGGTTGGCCATATCCTAGATAAGGCAATTATTGATTAGTCACGTCCATCTGCTACTCAGATGAAGGGAGCACATACCACTTAAACCGCCGTGTTGTCCGCTGATGCTCGGCAGCTGCTCGTACCTCATCGCAGGGCTCGCACTGGGACTCGGGTACGGGCTAACCCGCGGGCTATTGCTGAGGCTCGAGCGATCGCGACTTCCCGAGCTGGTACGGCGATGGTGACCACTTAGTCGCTGCATAGGTTCCGCGAGGAAACCCGACCTGGGGTCGGCGCTGAGGAATTGCGTTCCTCCTGTCATGTACCGCAGATCCTCGCTGTGCGCTTGGCGACGGTGACTTGGGCGTCCAGGGTGTACATTGGGCAGACCCAGATAAGGTGAGCTACTGCCCTGCCCGCCCATAGGAGAGGCGAATGGACCAACGCCCGAGGCCGAATACTGCGGCGCGCCATGCGACTGAGCAAACGTGTTCTGCAATGCGCTTGCACTCGAGGGGCGGCCAATGCCGAGGTCGTCGGTGGCGCCCGACTGGAATGAGAGCGGATGGTGGTTCGCGTACTCCTGCAAGCTGCTGCCGGAGGGGATACCATTGCCGCGGATGTCCCAGTTGGGCGTGGGTAGCGATGTGTCACTCTTGCTACGGCCGCGGGATGGGGAGGGCGGAATGAGGAAGGCACCGTTGGTCGCGTCAGACGGCAAGTTGTTGGTGCTGAGCCCGACGTTCGGGCGCCCGCTCTGCTGCTGGCCCGAGCCAGAGGGCGGGAACGTGAACGGGGCCGGATCGAAGGCGTTGGACTGGAGATTGTCGTATACGGACGATCCGGCGTTTGCCGAGGCGTATGCGGGAGCCTGGTCTGTGGCGGACGTCAGCGACTTGTTGCGATCATGCGGCAGGCGCTCTTCCTCCCGCGGCTGTCGGGAGATCAGATGGGAGAGAGGATACGTACTCTGGGTGCCGAGCAACGAACCGCCGGCAAAGGCCGCCTGCTGGGGAGGATCGGTGCCCGATATAGGAGTGGCGGGGACGATATGCAGGCGAGGACCGCCGTCGCCGGCACCGTTGCCCTCGGGAGCATTGATCGCGGGCGCTTGGGAGGAGCCAGGCCGCTCGTTGGGAATCACGAGCTGGGGCGGCGATGGCGCGTTGCTATTGCTCATGTACGGGCTGTCCCCGACGTGCAGGCCGACAAAGTTGAGATTCGGGCTCTGGGTCTGGGAGAGCTGGCGGTGGTGGGAGGATACGGAGGACGCGATGTCGCTGGTTTCGCCGCCGTTGCTGGACGCGGGGCTGGAGTGATCGTAGTACTGTGGCGACAGAGCGTCGTCAAGCGCGGGAGTGACCGAGACGGCGACGTGAGTAGAGTCGTTATTGAACATGCCGAGCGAGTCGTTAAAAGTCAAGAGTCCTGCACTGCCTGGGTTGTCGTACGCAGCCGGGTCGTATTCGTCGGTATTAAACTTGGAGTCGAAATCGAGCTCGGATGCTACCGAGAAGGGCGAGTTGGCGTATGAGCCGTTGTAGGACGGAGTCGGCGGGTAACCGAATCCGGAGTCGAGATATGGTGCACCGTCCATCGCGGATAGAGCCTGACTTATATGTATGAGCTGCAGTTATAAGCCCGAACGCGAGAAGAAGCGGGGGCTGTGCAGCTGAAAGTGTGGTAGAGAGATGAGGGCAGAAGACAAGATGCTCTCAGATTCCAGCGCCCTGCTTTTGACTTCACACGCTTCCCATCTCCCGATCAGGTCTTCCGACAGCTCTCCGTCCGCGACGACGACGACGGCGACGAACAGTCTCGCGATCCTATTATTCTCATTGTCTGCCCGCGCTCGCTTAGCGCGATGTAAAGCAGCTACTACGGTTGAACGCGAAGAATACAGCCTCGCGTGCACTGCATAGAACTTCTGCAGTGCTCTCAGCTTCTCTTCGTCCCCTTTCATTCGCATCGCATCCCACGTGCGATCTCGTGGACCTCTTTCCGCTAATTCCGCCCCTTTCCCCCTGACCTCGTCGTCGTGTCGCATGCCGATCAACTACTTTAGTTCATCGAGCGGCCCGCCAAACGCAATGCCGGATACCCTCGAGCTGCTAATCGGTGCATCCTTTCGGTACCCAAATCTCCCGACTTGACTCGAGCAGCTCACCCGCCCCGGTGGCTGTGCGCCGGGCGTCCCGTTCAAGAAGAAGATGCCGCTTGCCCTTGCGTGTTCTGTAAAACGTCCTGCATCTGCAACAGTTCTATCATCTTGACATCACGCGCTAGCCGCTAGCCTCCCATCGGCATCTGCTCACTCATGCAGATCCCTCAATGCCAGCTCTGATTGCGGCCCAGTCGAACAGCGTGAAAGATCCCCGCTCTCGCTCGTTTGTCCATTATGCCCATGAACGCATGCACAGCCTCGAGAGTAATAGTCAGGCCTATTACTCGTCTTCATCCAGTTGGGTAAACAATATACCGCGCTTACGGTTCTCGCCGACCGATATCCCAGGTTCATTCTACCTTTCGGAAGAACTCTCTCCGAAGAGAGCGAGCAGCCCAAAGTGTACGTATACACACCCTCCGGGGCCCATTCTCCGGGACACGGAGCTCACATAGATTCCGCTTTGGAGAGGCATAACACATCGGAGAACGTCCGCCACGTACCCTGACAGTAACCCGGCGCGGAAGGCTTGACAGGACCTCCGCATCGAGGCAGTGCACCCGAAAGCCCGCGCTCTCCGAGGCCACACACTTCCCCGACTCGATTGCTGCGCGGCCAACATCGCATCGGACATACAATCCATTTTACTTGCCAGGTACAAACGCTACACTTGAATCTTCACAGCATGACGCCCCTTTTGGTGCAAGCAATCGCTGCCACTACTCGCCCGATGCCAATATTCATCGATACGCCTGCTCTTGTTCTCTATGCGTTATGCATCACCATATGGCCCCATGCCTGTCAGTCCAGCTAGGAACTCGGAAGGCGGATAGATCCTCGGCGATCCAACTCGACCTCCACCGTGATATTCGAACTCGCACCCGAGCAGATCTCGTTGAACAAGGCGGTGCATGCAGATGAACATGGCCCTGCAGCGGGTGGGCGTCAGTGGGTGCCTACCGCGCATCGCCCCTCGTCATTGACGGAAGGCCACGCTAAACAATAGAGCAATTGACTCTACGCCACCGCAGCTGTCAGACGCCGCCGTCCACCCGCACCTCGTCGAGCAGCAATCGTGTGGATCACACCTGTCTGCCGCGCGGCGACGCCACAGAGCGACTTTCCTACACTTGCTGTCTATGACAGAAGTTGATGTTGCGAGCTAATGCGTCCACGAGACGACAGTGGTGCTCATCCAGCTGGACCCGCGAATTTGCCGCTTGCACGAGGCAGGGGCAGTGACGCCGAACAAGTACGCCGAACCGGCCCTGTGTGGGCGTCTAGAGGTGCTTCTTCTAATTCGCATCGCCCTTTCATTCGAGAAAGAAAAGCTAATCGGCACACAGATACACGGTTACTCGGGGCCGTCGAGTCCATTTCTCACCGAGTCATTAATCACAGCACGACAATGGGTCGGTATGAAGGCTACATCTCCTCGTGCATCCAGCTCGCCTGCCTGCAGTCAACGCCACACTGTTACGATTACCCCACGGGGCAAAGTCTCTTCAACTATTGCTTCTTCGATGCGTTCACACTCGGTATGTTCACATAACCGAAGCCGAAAGACATAAGATCTCCTCGTGTCGCGCTCGTGGAAGTCCGACGTAGGTCGCATGCTGTGCCGCCAAACCTCGATGGCGCTTTTGCCGACTTGGTGTGGGCGTTATCTGCGCTTCTCCCGTGTTCATCGCAGTGTCATCTCAACTGCAGTTGCACCAACTGGAGTCTCAACCGAGGATCGACAGAACGTATAGTCGTTGAAATCAGACACGAGTCGCCCGTGGAATCGCTGACTATTCGCTATAGCTTTTCTGCAAAAATGATCACGCGATCACGATATCTGACAAGGATATTGACACCTATACGTTCCTCCAACTACGAGTTCGCCGATCAACCACATCGGGTCGGAGGTCTTTGGCTCTGGTGCGCAGGTCTACCTTCGCCCAGTCACATGCCCTTGTACTCTACTGTGGCCCGTAGGCGCCAATGGGCGCATCGGTTCAAGCTGCGCGCACAGCTCATCCCAACAGTGCACCAACACCCCACTCCCGCAGCTCTGAGCACTCAATGAAGAGGCAGTGTCTCGTTCAGTCCTTTGTCCCACTTTCAGTCATCCATGTTCCGTCGATCTACGACATAACGGCATTTGAGATCTTACCATCTCTACGGCCGGCTCGGTGCGCGAGACGACCCGACAATGCATCTACATCTTGATCTTTTCGCGCGCGTAGATGATCAGCTGGGCGGAGAGATGGATTGCGTGCCCGAGACCGCTCGACGATGTCACTCAGGTAGGGTCGGCGGGCTTGTGGTACGAGACGCCTGTGGTAGGTCAAACCTCAAAGCGCGATCAGCATGCTAGCTGTCTTCCTCCGTGCATCAACATAGTTTCGTCGCAGATCCATCCATCGATGGTTACTAGCTTGAAAGCCGCCAAGAAGGCCGAATGGTGGTAGATGCATCGTGCTCATAATCGGGAGCATCGATGCAACGAGACTGGAAGCTGAAGGGGCTGACTCGGAGCGCCGCCGGGAAAGGTAGGGATCCATACGCATCGTCGAGTGAAACTGTATGCTGATCTTCTCCCGTCGGCCCTGCGCCGACGATCAGCGTTTCAACCTTGTCTACGGCAGCGGGCAAGTGTCCAAGACAGCTTCCATGCAAGTGACAATGTGCATTACCCCGCCGGTCGAGGAGACTTGTTGACCTTTGAGGCGCGTTCGAGATCATGATGACTTCCGGCGAACAAACTACATCCCGAGGATGCCGGAGCAAGATTCGGCGTCCTGCAACCAGGCAGAATTCCTTACGCCGACCGAGCGCACGCGATACGGTGAAGTTCCGTATTGGTTCCTTGCGAAGCGTTCACTTGGATGGAAGTAATAGCACCGCGAATCTTGTCAAGGCACGATTCGCTCTGGGAGACGACAATCCCCGGTGAGAACATAATCCTGTCGGAATGATCGTGGTAAGTACTGGAGAGCTCGCACTCGCGATGTCGAAGACTAAATAGAGCAACAGATGCCAGTCAGAGACCCTCGAAGCAAAAGGTGATCATGTGTAGTCTCGATATAAACGGTGTAGTAGAATATCGCAGTTCAAGAACCCTTTTCTTTTTGGTGCGCACCCAAGACGTCGCCTCAGGGAGAAGACCAGACGTTCGTCTGCGGCGCGATGGCCGAGAGTATATGCACATGCTTAAGACTTCCGTCTGCTAACCAAGAATGAGCATATCGAATATACACATTGGAGACGAAGAACATACCATCCTGAACATGTCCGAAGAACAGTGCTCCATCCTCCGTCATACCAAAAGGCAACTTCGTTCGCATGTCCGTCACCTGACGCGGGTACTTGAGCTGGAACTCGGAGCAAGCGAGCTTCCCCGGCGATACGTTCGTGTCGGCGAAGATGGGTACGCCCTGCATGGTGCCCACAGGACCGAGTAAGAGTGGCTCGGCATGATGCTCTGTCTGTTGTTGCAAGTAGCGCGCCCGACGCGGGTGGAAGTCGAGCGCATATACGGTCTTCTGATAGTCCGAGTCGCCCCAAAGCTCTGCAGGCAGCGGCGGCTGGTTCTCCATAGCCTCGTCGACGTGAATGTATAGACCGTTGCGCATGGCTGAAGACCACATCGCAGGTTCCCAAGAAAGCGCGGGATGGGGAAGACGAGGCGGCACGACGAGACGCGCGCAGTGCTGCCATGCGGGCCACTTCATATCCATGCACATCGTGGGTGGCAACCCAGGCAGCGAGCGCGCCAAATTGAGGAGGGCGTCGACATGGATGAAGAGGTAGACGTCCGTATCCGCGTTTTGCATGATCCATGCTGGATCGTGGTGAGCATCCACTGCAATGCGAAAGGCTAAAAGGCTATTGCCGTCCGAAGAGAACCCTTGCATGGAAAAGGAAGGCTTGTCGAGTTGCGGTCCCGGTAAGAGCGTGGCGATTCTGGATTGAGGCAGCTTCGGAAGTTGGAAAGAGTAGGCACATGGATATGGAAGCTTGTCCTGTTGATTTATCCCGAATCGCGGTCTGTCGCCCGCTCCTGAGACAAAGCTGGTTGTGTCGTGATGCGGGACTATAGGCATAACCTGTATGGCGAGGTCTTGCTCCACGCTGTTCGAATCCAGGGTGGTACGCGTAACCGCACGAAGGAATGCGTCTTCCGCCACCAAGATCCCATGGCCATCCTGGGGCTCTGCCTCGATTGGTCCGAAGTGTGGTATAATCTATACATGTTGATTTAGACACCGAAAGGTGTTCGCGGCGCTTTGAGAACGTACTGAGAGTGTCTGTCCCGTTCGCCAGTCCATGACCTCGTGGGCGCGATCGTAGCGGGGCTGTCCGTCCACTATGCGGGGTTCTAGTCGGTGGCAAAAGAAAGACAAGTGCCGACCGCACACTTGGACGGTGTTCATCCCGAAACCGCGAAAGTAGACGGGAATCGGAAGGCTGCCTCGTCCTCCGACGGCGAGTGGATGTGGTAGCCCGGTGGAGAGTGATAAAAAGACGAGACTGAGAACATGAACGCAATTAGCATCGCTTGTGAGATCCCCTACTCAGATGCGCTCGCGTACCGTGGCATCACAGCGTGCCCCAAGCCCATGACCGTGGGGTACCCGACTAAGAGATCGTGCTCAAAGTCGACAACGTAATCGAGTGCTCCGCCCAGCTTGCATTTGACAGGCCAGTCGTCCGGAGGGTCCATCGCCACCGAGCGCCTTGCGCCAGGGTAACTAGTGAATCGAAAGCTCGGGCTCGACAAAGGTCGAATAAAGAAGATCCCGTTCTGAGGCTGAATGTCGTGCAAGGCACCACCCCTTACGTCGGCATACTGCTCGAGCTGTCCTCCACGAGCGCCACACTGCAGGTACTCATGTACTCGGGAGAGCTTCTCAGTACTCGTGAGCGTTTTCGTGAAGTCCATCGAGTTCTCATCGAGGCCAGCGGCCGCGAGGGATAGAGTATACTGCAAGCTATCATGGGACACGATGATATTCTTGAGGTACTTGCAAGTCTGCCATGAGATGCGCGAGTGAGCAGAATGTCCTTGAAGTAAGCGCAAGTTCCATACGCACACACATGCAAGCGACCAACTCTTCATAATCACAAACCTCTAGAATGCCAATGATGGTTTCGACTGGCTGGGCCAAGAGAAGGCCGGTTTGGGCCATGGCGCTGAGATGTGGTGGGGGCCGATCAACAGTGGGCACCGGCGAGCCGACTTGAAGTAGCACAAATAGGCCTGGCTTTTACGTCTGACGTCGCCCGGACAAACCCCACTAAGTTGAAGGCTGTCGGTGGTGCCAATGGAAATATGATGGGAAAAGGCGCCGGGCGACTGTATCGGGCTTGCGGCTCGCCTCGAATGAACATATTGCGCGATGAGGATATCCTCTGGAGACTGGAGTATAGCTCCATGGCAGGCTCAGTAGCCACCCTTCCTGGCGGCTGAGGTCCGTCGGTGAGTAGTCCTGGAAGGTAGACATGACCAGCTGGTGACAACTATAGTAGTGAGCGCACGACGAGAGGTGGGCCTCGACGGCGACCTGGTGCGGGTGAGCGCGTCGTGATCCGATCAACCCGCCACCACCGCGATCCCACGTCCTCCACAGTTTGGCACTGACTATGTACCAACCTCTCATGCTCTCCATCCGAACGTGTACCATCGGGATGCGTACGGCGCAGGTGCTAGAGATAGTGCTGTGCCAATTTGAATGTCCCTGGGATTTAAATGCCACTTGATTTTTAATGGCGCCCGACTTTTAATGGTGTTCGGGCTTTAAACTTCGCCCGGAATTTAAAGCCGGTTCAGTAACTAGAAGCGCTGCATTCTGCAGCTGAAACCTAGCTTGGGACAAGTAAGGTTTCGAACCTCAGTCCCAGTATCTCGTGCAGCGCGAGTATACCTGCGGCGCTGTAGGCCTTATACTTATAAGACCCTCTGTTCAAAGTCGAAAGCAAGCGTGGCTGGCCAGGGCCCACGGCCTTCGGCCGGCTAATCCGAGCGACATTGTCGCGCCAGCCTGCCCTCGCTCCTAGCTGAGTCTCATATGGCGATTTAATCCCTGCTCATTGAAGTAAGGCCGTACAGGACTGCGTGGCTTGCATTGGAA